AATTAAAAAAATATATAAAACATAGCCTATGTTACTCACTGACAACGTAACTTTTTAATGATGGAAGAATTTTTGTAATCAGCCCAGTATTTTTTGAGTTATTTCGTTACAAAGTTTTCCACTATATAATATTAGTATAGATACAATCAGCACATCGTGTATGAATCATCCATGCCATTGCGCTTGGAAACGTGACGTAAATATGCAACAGATACGTAATCGCGAGTAAATCAATATTCTAGATATTTATAGACTCAGCTTCTGTTTCAATGCTCTGCGGTAGATCAGTTACGGCAGGCGACACGTGCTCGCGGTTTTGTAAAACATCTTTGAAATAAAACCTCTTTAAACCGGTTTCATTAAATAATAACATTATATTAACAGAGTTTTAAATGAAATTAAATGCTTTCAAGTAAAATGCACCATAAAAGGACAACGAACGGACATACTCTATGTTTGATAGGTCGAATCTAATGCGAGATTTTCTTTACAGCTGACTAGAGCAAAACTGTGCAAATATTGCTTTACTTCAGTGGTAGAGCCCGCTTTAACGTCTTCGCACGAATTGGCCGGCTCGCCCGGTGTAATACCACGACCACACAGAAAACAGGCGTGAAGGGGAAGCAATTCCGCGTTTCGTCTGATGAGTGTGGTGCCGGAGGCCTAATTTCCTTTTCTTAAGAGAAAGGATGGGAAGGAAAAGTGGATTTGACGGTGGAGGAGACGCATAGGAAGGGTAAATGTCCTCTTAATGTGCGTCTTCTCCGTCAATTAAGGGTAGGCAACGCATCTGCAATTGCAAATGTCTATGGGCAGCGATCGCTTTCCATTTCGGTGGATTCAGGTGGCCGTTTGCTCGTTTTATGTTATAAAAAAAAAACTTGCAAAATACGGAGAAACCACCTCTATACACTTCTGTACAATGTAAGCCCAAAAGGTATAAATAGAACAACAATCAAATATTCGAACAAGACAATTTAAATTAACCTCAATTAACTAAAAATTAAATTTAAAATTAAATAGAATAAACTATGTTTATCCTATAGGATCCTCTTAGCTAAGTTACAATCTTACTTCTTACTAATATTATAAATGTGAAAGTTTAGATGGATGGATGTTGGAGAGTTTGTGCGGCTAAACGGATCTCGATATTTGGCATAGTCCTAAAGCATAGTCTAGAACAACACATAGGGTACTCACTTTTGTTTTTGACTGAGTTCCCAAAAGAAGGATGTACTAAATTCGTCTGTATGTTTTTTTAGGTTTAATTCAACACGGACGGTGTTGCAAAAGCTAGTAAATTATAGATAACATGGTGTCTAATCTGTTCACAACACTGTTATGTTTCTATATCTTCAAGGTAAACTTATATATCTAATAAAAGTATAGAGGATCGATAAAATTGTGTAAGTAGAGACGTATTCACGTCGTACTGAATGTGCAAACCGGAACAAACCAGTTTACAGCCAGACAATCGCCTCCGCGCCGACAAACGCACCTACCGAATTGTAAATAATTACTGCACAGTGTCTACACGAGACGACAGAACGATTTATTAGATACAATATCGAATGATTCTTATTCTGATATCGTTCTACTATCGTCTTTGACATTTTTATTTTAAAAACTGATGCTACTTGGATTCTATAACCGAACTGGATCTATATTAAGTGCTGTCACAAATAGTCGAAAACGCTAACTTAAATCCGATAGATGGCAGCACTTGAAGAACGAAATAAGTATTGCCCCTTTTGAAAACAGTCCTTCAAGTACAGTTTATAATGAAAACTTGAAACTCATTCGAGTTTCACATGTGATGTGAGACTTTATCGTTTGTATGTTATTCCACGTTATAAAACTTTACTGTCCATTGTAAATAGTATACACTTTAAAAATATTCCTACAGCGACTTCCTAGTAAAGGTAAACAATATTAAGCCCGCCACAAACCAGTAGAAATCTCGAAAGAACTGACTTCTATGTTCTTTAAACGAGGCATTTACGTCACTACGTTTTTATTTGTATAATGACACATAAGTAATATTAATTTGCAGTGTCAATTGGACAAAGGCGCACCTCGTTTTGTGACGTAATAATAGTAAATTCTGAAACGTCATACATTAGATCTATTAGCTAAATTAGATCGTGTTTACTGTGTATTGACTTCGTGTTCATATGCTTACTATGATTGGGTAAATATTTTCTATACCCTATAGTTTGTAGTTTTAAACAGATTTTTATCTAAAGATATCTGTAAAAAGTTGGCTTTTTTAACTTTAAAGATGAAATTGGTTAACCTTTAAACTGCCTTTAAGTGCCTAAAATCGGAATTATTTTGGAATTTCGTAAACTAAACTTTTATGATTCAAAAATGCTACACAATTCAAAATATATTCCGTTCTAAGTAATAATATCTGGAGTACTTGTAAGGTTCGTGATAAAAAAAATAATTTAAAACAAGAGACGTTAACAAGATCAACGTAATAGTCTTCCACAACCCTTGTATGAATTCATGTAAATACCATTCAATGTAAAATTACGTTCGATACGGACATTTACCCCGGTAAGTGTCCTGTATAGTAAGTCACAAGTTCTGTTAAACTGCTAACTTAATTAACATGAGCAAATTCAGTGCTGATTTAACGTCATACAAATGAATAGCATATGACTAGTAAATTTAACCACAAATGTGTATTAAGTGAAAATTGCTTTATCACAAAATATTATGCTAAATAAATTAAGTTTGTTTATAAGAACTTGTCACGTTTAATCTTAAGTTAGAAGCCTCAGCTTTAAGTTACACAGGGCGAGTATTAAAGCTGGTATTGATAAAGTCCACTGTTAAAATTTTTAAGCCCCGATCCACACGAACGCTTTTCTAACGCGCGGTAAAAGTGCTTTCAAAAAGAACAACAAATGTATTTCCATGTATCTGTTCACGTTACTAAAGGGAGACGTTTTCTTATCGCGCTGTGTTACATTTTCAGCACTGAATGAACGAAACAAGGGTGATTTTAAAGTGTTCATCGCAGAGCCGTTACCCCAAATTTTAACGCAGCGTTAAAAAAACGCCCGTGCGAATGAACTATAAATGGTTGTATATTTCCACTTAAATCGATATTGTTTGCAATTGCAAATATAAATTGAAGGATGGCATGCCTAAAGATGTTAAAGATTGTCAATTAAGGAAAAAAACGAGCACTTGAATTTTTATGTTGCGGTTATATCGGAAATTTCCGAGATTATTCATGAATAAATTCAGGCCAAACCGCTTCAGAGAGATAAGGAGTTAATAATTTAACATAAATCGATCGCCGTAGCCTTTATCTTTTGTTTATCACAATTTAACAATAATCTTTTATCTTTCACCTCGTCCGTTATTACGCAGTATGGCTTCCTATTACTGTTGTTAAAACATTTTTTGTATAAATTTCTTTGAACACACCTAATTTCAAATTAGTGTTTGCATTTTCAAAGCTACTAGGAAAAACGAAAGCAATAATAAAATCTCACGTTAAAATAGGTCATGGCCACAAAACGTCGTGTGAATTTTTCCTTTCTTGTGTATTTCTAAAAATTCTGTTTCTCAATTTTGTGTCGTATAAATTAACTTGCTGGTAACATTTTTCAATACACTGCATGGAGTTATATTTTAAAATCGTTTTCGCATCGTCATAATGTAGAAGTCTAAAGTTCCATAGTTATAATCGGCAATGATGTTTTAAGCTGTTAATATCTTAAGGGATAAAGATAACTTCAAAAATGTCTTGATAATATTATGAAAACGAGTATGGTATCGCCACGTGTCTATTACTTAGGTATTTACATTACAATAGAGTGACCTAGTGACTTTTTTTAAAGCAAGCCTATTAGGTTTTAATTTTGACGGCAATAAATTTTATTTTAATTTCTTCGCTAGAATTATTTTAATAGATGAACATTTTTTTGGAATCCCTGACGCGGTAGTTTACTAGAACTTTCTGGAACAATGCTTTTGAATTCAAGGCACAAGATCCCTTTTGCCGCGTCGGAATTCCCGGGCCGGGGTCAATGTCGAATATTCTAGAATCGTACCCCTCGTCGCCACCCCTTACCCTAACCGTTTTGGCGGCAACGTAACGACAAATATTCATGCGAATAAAAACGAGCAATTATAACCAAAAATATTGTTTTTATATCGCCGTTTCTTTAATAAAACAAATGAACTGGTGAGTATTAAGTTTTCTTTTTAAAGTCTAACAAGAAAATTTGCGCGGTAAGGTACATGGACAGATGAAATAAAACATGAGGAAATATTGAATAAGCTTTTTATTAAGAAAAATTTTCAGATCAGACAACGTAGATATCATGCAGTTAAATCGGACGTAAATATTCACTGTACTAAAAGTGCAATATTAAATTAGGACATATCTTTGTGAACACATGTAAGACAAATGGCAGTTCAGAAATTTCAACTCAATCCTCGCTAATCCCCTCAAAAAGCATTCATCATTTAAATCAGAGGCAAATTATTTTAAACACATTTTCCCGATTTTTTTTTCTAAAAGTATGAAAATGCTATTTAGTTGTCATATCTTTAATCTCATTCAAATATCTTTACATATTACACCTTCATTATTTTTATTACGACAGTCTGCAGTTTAACTGTTTTCTATCGCTACTACAATTTAATAAAGCTGGTCCATTTACACAGTCATTTTAACATCACATAAAATCATGCAAAATAATAACAAAAGTACTTCATTAGATTAAATACATTAATACGACACCAATTGTCGTGAATTTAGGATAATTTATCACTTGCTCATTCGCGATGACTACACGTTTATCTTATTACGAACAGTAAAATTTATTTCTATAGTACATTGGTAGATTTAAGCAATAGCAATTTCACTAATATTAATTTTGCCAAACAGATAATTTTGATATCAAATTTAATTTAAAGACAAAATTTCTTTTTAATTTTTAAAATTTAAGTTAAGTATTTTTTTGTTTAAAATGTCAAATTGTACATTACACAAAAAAATTAACGGAACTAAATATAATTCAATAACAATAATTTTAAATTATCACGTACTTTGAACTATTCTATACTCGCCTCAAAATAAATAACACTATTGCTTATTAATAACAAATCACAGATATCAATCGCGAACTGCCAAACACAACTACTAAAATACTAGTATACAACATATACGAAATAACAACCGGGTTATAGTTGTCATGTTCAGATGGAAAACACCCGGTGCACGTCTTAAACTAAATACAGTCTTGAAACATACAACTACTGCCTCCAACGACCAGATAATACGATCCAATACTGATGAGTGCTATTACAATACGGTATTACAGAATAAACGGTCAATAAACATTCATGCAACAGTTAGGGGAAGCGGACCAGAATATGACTACAAACTATTGCATTGGGCGGTCTTTAAACACAAATATGATCGATTAGACTGGATTTCCGAAACATTAGGCGGTTAAAGTTAGCACATTCATAGGTTCTACTCAACTCTGCGGCACTATCCCGTACGTATCACAGATAGTGTGTCGGCGCTTGTGTTGCGGCGGGCGCGCGCTGCCATTGCCGGTGGCCGCAGCGCGGTCACAAGTATGGCACGCAGGCGGCGCAGCGCGACCGCGAGCGTTCGGGGGACTCCGCGCGCGCCCTGCACACAAGCACGCCTCGTTAGCTCATGAGCTGCGCTCCTCGCGCCGGGACTCCGAGCGGCCGAGCGCCCTTCTCAGTTTCTCCACCAACCTGCTGTGGAACTTTTCCGTTTCGCGCGCGGCGCTGGGCGGGCTAGCCGAGCCCTTGGGGCTGTCTTGCGCTCGCAAGGAGACCCGCGAGTGCGGCGCGCGGCAGTAGGACAGGGAGCGCATGGCGGGCGCGCTGCGGTGCGGGCTTAGCGCGGAGCCCATGCGCGGCGACAGCGCCGGCCCCTCCGACCGCGACTCGGACACCTTCCGCACGCGGCCCCCCACGCCGGCCACCACCTTCTCCGCAGACTCCGAGGTGCGACGAGAGCGCTGCGTGTGGTAAATGTCCCAATCGTTCTTCACTACTGGCATCATAAACGCCATCTCGGCGATGAAAACGGTTCCTCTTGTGCTTTAACGTTTTTGGAGAAGTACCGAATGCGGTGCGGTGAGAATTCCAGAGAATAGGTAGCTCTGCAATCGATACTGTACACCGTGTATCTTTGCTCACACTTTATAATTCCTTTCAGATATTATATGATCAATGTTTATATAAACAAGATAATTTTGATAACATATAAAAATGGTTAAGGAAAAACGCCGGCTTTCACTTCAATGTCACACGCACTGACTGCAAGGAGTTGTTAACTCTAGGACGATTATCCGAAGAATGAAGATTTCATGAAAACACTCAGATTATATGGAAAATATTGGCGCTGACGTCGCTACGGCGTTTAGATAAAACTATAAGTATTCCTATTAGGGGCAAAAATGTTTTTATATTCAGTAATTTCGTAGTAACAACCTACATAAATTATCAAAAATTAGAAACAAATTAATGTTAAATAATTTTGTACTTCTATGACCTATTATTTTGATAAATACATATAATTTTTCTATTATTCAACAGATGGCTAACAAGTTTCTGCCACTCGACACTAGATGTCGTAGATGAGAAATAAATAAAAGCGCTCTCTATTGTTCATACATAAAAGCTTCAACAACGAAATTGCATAAATGGCAAAAATATGTATACAAAAATAGAAGACTATCGAATTGATCCAATGTTTTGTACGTTACAGTATTTTTTTTTTATAACATAAGGTGGCAAACGAGCAAGCGGCTACCTGAATCCGCCAAAATGGCGAAGCGGCGGCTGCCCATAGACATCCGCAATTGCAGATGCGTTGCCTACCCTTATACGACGGAGGAGACACATATAAAGAGGATATTTACCACTCCTATGCATCTCCTCCACCGACAAATCTACTTTGCCTTCCCATCCCCTTGTTATAAGAAAAGGGTGGTAAATAGAAAGGGACTTAAATTAGGCCTCTAGGATTTCTGAAAATTAAGTTCGGGGCAATAAAAAAATCATTTTTTATGTTAATATTAAAGTTACATTTAATGCTTTTGTTAAAATATTAAAACAATAAAAAGGATTTGGCATACACAATTTTAACTATTTACAAAAGCGAATAAATTCAACATTACATTACGTCCTACTTTTAGTAAAATAGAAACAAGATGATTTAAAAACATGATAACTTTTAAAATTTGTCTAAGACAGTGGTTAACAATAAAAGGTGGGATTATGTCTTAAAAGATATGTATTTTTCATATCACGTGAAAAACTAAAAAAATATTTATTTAGACTACAAAATATTACTAGTAAAAGTATCTGAGTATTATTTTTCTAAATGCAACAACATTCAACATTAATGAATATTTTAATATTAAAATTTTAATTAAAAGCTTTAAAACTAACCAAAAAATGTAAAAACTTCGAGCTTTTATCTTCTTCATAATGTTTAGTTCCATGTTTTCCCGCAAGTGGCGAGGTTTTTTCATATTCCTGGTTTACCTATATCTTCAATAGATATATTAATACTTGTAGTTAGTACATATTTAATTATTAGTTGCATTTGTATCCTCTTTCGATCTATCAGGATCATAATATCCGTTCAAATTGACCATAGTTAGTAATTCCACTAGATGTCGCTGATATCCACATTCCATTAATTTTGTGACAACTTTGTGCAGATATTTGGCCAATTTTTCAAATAAATGGTACAATTCTTCTAATTGAATGAAATTTGTATGTGTGAAGGATCCGTTGAATTCTTTCTGTTGCCATTCGCTGTAATAATAAATTAATTTATAGAAGATATATTTAATTTCTTGTTGTATGAACTTATTACTAGATGGCGTTGTACTCAATCTTACAATAGATGACAGAAAATAAGTCCCACTTGAGAGTTCTTTTTTTCTATATTTTTAATAAATCTTTTTATTAAAAGTAGAAAATTAAGCAGGAAATTATAATTCAGTTTAAGAGAAGATACGTTTTCTAACAGTTTATCAATAAATAAATATATTCATACATACCCAGCTTTCAAAACTCTACTGAATTTCAGGATAACGGTAAATATATCGTTTAAAAGCTTCATAACTGGAGTCGATCTATTATTTAGAAGACATCTAAATAATACTTTCTTTATATAAACGACATGACATTCGTAAAGATCGTCCAAAGTTCTCGCTTTTTTTAAATCATTCTCAAATTCAGTCCATGAAGTGAGAATGCAAGTTGTTACAATATAATTGTCTAAAGCTCTTATAAGTGAGGCCATCACATGTCTGTATATCTGTATAGATATGTATTGAGGCGATCTTAATAATTTTCTAGAATGTTCTCGAGTTAATTTCGCTGATAGTTTAAGATACTGTAATAAGAAGTAAACAATTACTCAATATGAAACATAAGATTAATGAATTAAATAGAAAAAAAGTTCAAAACATTAATGAAAAAATCGCTTTTGAAAATTCGATAAAAGTTTTCATTTTTTTTACAACAATAGATGGCGCTATTATAAAATTTTTCGAACGCTATATATGCCAATATCGAAAAAACAATTCTCTATAACAGTAGCGAACATTTATGTATCAGTGTCTTTTTTTATTCTTTTCATCGATTAATTTTGACTACGATTATGAAGTCGATTCCATGGTGTCCCTTTTTCATAATTTTCTCCTACTGTTTTTATGATTTACTGAAGGGTCGAAAATATGCCCTGTGCCATTTATGGCATGCGTGTTAGTGGTTTTCCACCCCTGCCCTTATAAAATTTACCGCCATCTTATAAAATTTAAATATGCTTAAAACTAACCCATCAGTATTAAAAAGAAAAAAAAAATAAAAAGTTACAAATAAATACTGTTGATGGCACAGTGGTTTAAGCACTTAACTTGTAATCTACAGGTCTCAGGTTCGAATCTCGCCACCCTAACTTAGGGTAGGCTCCGACCCTTCGGACATATAATGAGCTGGTGATGATGAAATAATTACCTCAAAATCTTCACTCAAGACCCAAAAAACGCGTCTCATTTTGAGTAGAAAGTGGAAGACTTTAGCGTATCTGAGCAGCGCCTCCTGCGACAGTATGATGTTGAGGGGCCAGCGCACCGCGTAAGACAGCGCCAGGCATGCCAGCACGTCCGGCGAGCTGTGTTGGAAACTTAGCGGACACTCCGCTATCGTGAACGATAGGTTCTCAGAGAATTTGTGTACATCTGGAAAAAAAAAACATCTTTAGTGTTAAGCCCTTTGGATATCACGTAAGAACTACAAAAACATCTATTTAGACTATAAAATATAAGGGTTTTTTCTTCTAAATTATAACTGTAAAAGTTTAGATGGTTGGATGTTTGTTAGAGATTACCGTCTAAACGACTAAACTGACCTTGGTGAAATTTGGCATAGATGTAGGGGATAGCCTAAAGGAACACATAGGCTTTTGTTTTTTTTTATTATTACACGCGTACAGAGTCGCGAGCGAAAGCTAGTAAAAGTATGAAAATCCAATTAAACTTCAATCTTTTTTACGATATAGCTGGATTTAGAACATGTTGCCAATTGACATTATTTTAATCCAGTGAACGAATCCAGTGCTGGATTAGAAAACCGTTTTGCAGTTACTTACGCGATATAGACGATCCCAAAGCTTTATCTAATATATTATGTAGTGTTGCGAAATTCAACAACTCTTGAGGATTCAAAGTTTTCGTCAATTTCGTAAAAAGGTTATGACAAATGCTTCTAGAAAATTCCCCATCCATTAAAAAGAAATAATCCTTCAGACTTCTTAAATGTTCGAACATATCCAAATTAACAAGAAAATGTGTTAATATGGAATTATTTACGACTTCCAATTGATAAGTCAATGGCAACATTACAGATCTTTGTAAACAAGCTGTCAGTGTTGCTATATTATTAGTCGAGATTTTTGATTCCGTTTCGTCGCTTGATATAAAATTCGATACAAATATATTATGAAAAGGTTTTTTCTTCACCTCCTCCATAATAATAGCGGGATCTGTGTAAAATGATTGTTTGACATCGACATTCATTTCGTTTGAAAAATAATTTTTCGTATAGTTTTGTAAATTTTTAACACCGAATGGGTCAAATGTATCAAAATTGTAGGATCCATCTATAAAATTGTAGAATGAATATTTATTTCTGATATTTCTAACTGAATTTTCTAGATCTTTCGATGGAGTGTCCGTATCTTCCATAGCTATATCTGTCGTGTCTTCAGAAACAGCCGCGTCTTCGTCTATTATTGAGAAATCAAATCCTTCAGAAGTTAAATATTCTTTATCTGATTTAACTTTGGCTGAATCTATATCTTTGCCATCACTTCTCGGCGTAAATATATCATTTGTTAAACCACTGTCTAATGGTACATCTGCGGTTGTTGGAGTTTCAAGATCTAGCTGAATATGTCGAAACAAAAAAAAACAATGTAAAAATAATAGGTAATTTAATCATACAAGTATCATAGATTGGAAAGTTTAGATGTGTGGATGGATGCTTGTTAAAGTTTATCCTAAACGGCTTAACGAATTTGACATAGATGTAGAGGATAGTCTGAAAGAACACATAGGATACTCACTTTTGTTTTTTTTAATTCCACGCGAACGGAGTCGCTGTACTAATATAAACGCGAAAGTCTAATCGAATGTATGGATGGATGTTTGCTAGAGTTTGTAGCCTAAACAGCTGAACGGAATTTGATGAAATTTGGCGCAGATGTAAAACAAAGTTCAGAAGAACACATAGGATGTTACTTTTATAATTCAACACGGACACACTCTAGTAATTATATGGTTTTAATTACTTTACCTGTGGAAAAAAATCTCCCGGAGTAATTGTTCCAGTATTAGGAGCTAAGTTATCTGAACTATCAACAAACGGTTTCAAATTTAACGTCAATCTTGACTTTCTACCACTTTCTTGGCTGCTTACTTTTAACCGTGTATTATATTCTGATGCTAATATTTTATTTTTATTCTGTACCGCCTCCTCTTGAGCTATATTTGCCGGTTCTTTTTTATGTATATTTTCTAAAGGAAGATTATATTCCACTCCTAAGACTTTTCTTTTATTTATCAATGCTTCTTTCTGTGCGTCCGTTCTCGGTTCTATTGGCTCTTTGATTTTTTCAATACCAAATTCGGTTCCTAGTACTTTTAATTTATTTCTTTTAGCTTCAGAAAATGTAGACATATTATTTTCTTCATCGACTGTTAGCTGTATTATAGGAATCATTTCATTATTATCGTCATCAGTTTGACAGAATTCGTGACACATCACTTTATGTTTATTTCTCAAAGCTTCTTCTCTAATATTCATAAATGTTTGATTATCTAATTCAGTATTGAGTTTCCCACCAATAATATTACTTGATGTTGTAAAATCTCTCATATCTGAATTATTCTGATTGTCCACATTTAATACATTTCCTTGTGAATCTAATTCTTTATTATTATCACAGTCTTCAAATTCTGTTTCATTTATACTTGAAGTTTCTGTTCTTTTCGCATTATCTGCATTTTGATTATCATTATTTGATATGTTTTCATTATCGTTTATTTCCATAGATCTTATTGAATCAGGTGTTCTAAATTCTAATTGATTGCTCGCTTTATCAGTATCATCTGATTTTAAATCTAGACTTTCAATAGACATCTCCATAATTTCACCATTTCTTTTATGTTCAAGTTCTAATTTCTCCCTTTTTAAATTTCTCTCTTCAGTAGAGAGCAATTGTATCCTGCTTTGATCTAATTGAAGTCTTTTAATTTTCCATTCTGTGTGTAATTTACTCTTTTCTACTTCCATATTTAATTTCGAATAGTATTCCATTATTTTATTCCTGAAATATGCAATAAGTATATAATAAAAAAAAATGTGGATAATAAAATAACTATTTTATGGCGGAGTAGGTGTGGCCGACGATTTTGTGCGGAATTTAAAAATAGCTGAAGTACATATTGGAACAAAGAGACATACAACATTTTTTTTCGTTACAAGTAGCACAAATACATCCTAAGTGATTTTTAAGTTACATACAGATGTTCCAATTCTACTTATATGTATGGATTTATGGATTTACCTCTCATCATCCTTCAACTTGGAGTCAACTTCTTCCGTAGCTTTCTCTAATGCTTCTTCTATTTCATATCGTTTTCTTTCGCGTTGTTTTGCTTTATTTTTAGCGGCTTTCGCCTCCGCCATTGCGGCCTCCAGCACTCGCAGAGAATGTTGTTTTTCAGCTATTATTAATTGTGCTAATCGCTTACGTTCCGCTGAAATAGAAATGAAACACAATAATTAAAAAAAAATTATTAGTTCAAAGAAAAAATATTGGTAATCGTCTGAATAATTAGGACTATTAAAGTAATTATTTGTTTCTGATTATTATAGCTATTGCTCTCGGTTTCGTTAGCACTTAATTAAAAGAAAATCTTTTAAAATTTATAGCCTATGTTACTTAGAGATAACGTAGCTTTTAACGGTGAAAGAATTTTTGAAATCGACTTTTTAGTTCACAAATTTTTCCTCCAATTAATTTTAGGCTTTTAGTAAAACTATTCTATACTTTATGGTTTTATAATAGTAAGTATTATTACACTCACCAATAATCTTCTCCATAGTTTCAGCTTGTTTCAGCGACGCCATTTCCGTAAAAGCCTTCCTTTCTGCCTCTTTCTTCAGTAAAATCTGATCGAACGTAACCGGCTCCCCGCTGACGAAGAGGCATCTCGTTCTGTATACATCTAGAAGTTGCTGCTGTCGTTCCAACTCCTCGAACGAGCCACAACATTTAACTGTAGGGTGGTCTGATGATATGAGGACCACTAAAGGATCCTAGAAAACAAACACCAACAATAATTATGATTTACAATAAGAAATAAATCTTAATTACCACTCTTAGAATGTAAAATAAAAATGCTTATCTTCATTTTCACTATTATAATAAAGCGTAAACACACACTTCTTTGTTGCCTAAGATGTCAGCAATTACAACATATTTTTGAATAATTCTTTGTTAAAAAAAAACCCTACACCTACGTCACGCTTTAGGCTATCTTTGTTCACGACATTAAACTTAGGGAGTAAATACTTTGGATAAAAACCCTAATGTGGGAAAGAGACCATAAGTTGCTGCCAACATCAAGAAAGAAAAATTGCTAAGGTTTGTCATGTTATGTCATTTTGACATTTGCTATTAATAATTTGACAAATGTAAACAATGAAATAAAATTTTCATAATTTCATGCGGATGAAGTTGCACAGGAACAGCTAGTTGTTTTAATAACAATTTATAAGAATCAAAAAACATACAGACGAATTGAAAACTTCATATAAGACAATCGGTTAAAATAATTCTCTTATGTGCAACATAATTTTGCTATCGTTATTTATTTACTTTTTAATTTTTTTTCAAAATTATAGTTTATTTATCCCTAGAACACCAAATCCTTTTACATTCTCTTTAACAAAACAGAAACAAACGTTAACAATGGTCGAAAATTATCTATATTATTATGAATAATTCTTGCTCGCGACTTTGTTCCCGTGAAATTAAAATATAACAAAATTACATTTCTAATGGTGTAAGAATTTTTAAAACCGGCTAAGTAGTTTAAGAGTTATTTTAATACATACAAAAATACAAATCTTTCCTCTTTATAACATTAGTATAGACTATCTGTTGCTCGCGACTTCGCCCGCGTAAAATTAAAAAATGTAGCCTATATTATGCACAGATAAATTACCTTTCTAACGGTGAAAGAATTTTTAAAATCGGGTTAGTAGTTTTAGAGTTATAACTTATAATATCAGTATAGATGACTTACATCCTTACTTAATATTATAAATGCGAAAGTTTGGTTGGATGTTTGTTAGAGTTTGTTGCCTAAACGGTTGGATTTCGAAGAAATTTGGCACAGATGTAGAGGATAGTCTGGAGGAAACATACAGCCATTTTTTTCTAATTCCACGCGAACGGAGTTGCGGGCGAAAGCTAGTAAGAAATACAAATAAGTATACTTACACTGGGATTACACAATTTGAGCAATCTGAGCGACTTCCCGCAGAGCAGTATGTAGTGCGCGAGCGAGCGCAGGAAGTCCGGCACGGACACGCTCACCGCTAAATAAAACCCTTTGTCCCAGTAACGTTTAGACCGAGAATTCACATACTGGTTGTCCTTTTTAATGAAAAACTCATTAAATCTGTCATCCAATTCACCTTCAAATATAAACCTTTCTATAAACCTAGAAAAACAAAAACTTGTATTAACATTCAAAAACCTTCGAGGTTATATTCCATGCAAAAAATCGAGTATTTTTTTCCTATTTTCATTTTGTATCTATTATTAGACAACTTATTTAATTGATACTGTCGCTTTTAACTCAGAGCAATACTTCTCGTCAAGACTTAGGATGCGCGCCAAATCTATCCATACTTCTAGTGACATTTGACAGCTGTCAGCTAGGGACGTGACGTTTATGCCGATAATCTAGAGTTGCGCCAATTCTATAGCACGGTACTAATTTTATTCCTAACACTATGTTCTCTTGACAGATTAAACAAAAAAATAATTAACGAAATCGACCCATGCATGATGGCAACACTAAAGAAAATAGGAGATTCATTTTGATATTTATAGCTTTACTAGCTTTCGCTCGCGACTCCATCCGCGTGGTATTAAAAAAAAACAAAAATGAATAGCCTGTGTTCTTCCAGCCTATCTTCTACATCTATACCAAATTTCATCAAAATTCGTTTAGCCGTTTAGGCTACAAACTCTAACAAACATCCATCCATCCATCTAAACTTTCGCAGTAATAATATTAGTATGAAGTATGATAGATTCCGTCCGCTCGGAATTAAAAAAAAGCTTATGTGTTCTTCCGGATAATGTTCTACGTCTATACAAACATAAACGAGATCCGATAAGCCATTCTGAAGACAAACTTCCATCCATCCATCCAACCAACCATCCATCTATTTAAACTCTCTTTTAATGAACAGAGATAACAATATGTTTAAATACAAAATGTATCAATAAAATTTCACTCTAATATCAGTAAAAGTTTCACAAATAAATTACACAAGTATAACATAAGAATAAGTAACTTACTTGAAGTAAACTTTGCAGATGGTAAATAATGAGTTAAACAAAGTCAATGCAGTAGTTTTGTGCGTCACCAGAGATATTTCATTGAACAAATATGACATCAGTTCAGCTCCGTGAGGTATTGTTGTTGTTGTATCTGAAATATTAAAAAAGCATAATTTAATATCCTTACTTGTATAGATTTTAAAAATATTAAGGTCATATTGGTAAAGTAACCAATTAAAATAAATCATACTAATATAATAAATGCGAAAGTTAAGATGGATGGATGGACGTTCGTTAGAGTTTGTAGCCTAAAGGGCTGAATGGATCTCTATTAAATTTGTAGTCTGGAAAACCACATTACATACTCATTTTTGTTTTTTAATATTCCACGCGGACGGAGTCGCCGGCGAAACCTAGTTAGAAACTATTCTATTACAAATTTCCATCTAATTATTTTATAGCAGTATTTCCTTTACCTTCTATAAATCTATTGAAATAACTCAAAACCTAATGGGTCGATTTTAAAAAAATCTTTCATCATTAACAAAGCTACATAATCACTGAGTACCCTAAGCTATATTTTACACTATTTTTTAACTTAAACATGGAATATTTCGCAAAAGCTAGTATACATAAGAAAATAAAAATTATTTATTACCTGAATCAATCATTTTATAAATGGAGGCAATAGTTTCAATTTCATATTTTAACGGCTCAATATGATGTAAAATGTCCAATAATGTGGGCATACAGTTCAACTCTTCTAACATATCTTTACAATCTTCATACACTTCTGTAGCCAATAGACGAAAATCTAACAAATACTGTCTGATCACTTCCCGTGCAGCCTTAAAAAATATTAAATAAAAATTACTAATTGTAAAATATGGTATACTATGATAAGTCCAAAATGAACGCCGTCATAAAATAGCGAATCACATCTTGAACAACCCACTCTCAATATGAGAATCAAATGAAATGACTTGACTAATAGTTATGCATTATTAATAATCCAAAATGGTTGCCATCCCAAATTATGGATGATATATTTTTTTAAAACCACCCAAACTTGGTCATTAAGATAAAGTTTGACTAATAGAACAATATGGTAAAATACAATTTAAACCAGTGTTTCTCAAAGTGGGCCCGCCCCATTGGGGGCGTTGTAACCTAGAAGGGGGCGTTATAGGGCACCAGAAAAAATGGAGGGAGTTGATGTGGGTTAGGTGGCGATGTATAATTTGTAATTTCATTTATTTTATATAGTATCTTAATATTCACTAAAATTTTATAAAAATTGGGGGCGCTGAAAAACAATTGATTTTCAAAGAGGGCGGTAAAAGAAATAAGTTTGATTTTAACGAACAGCCTTATAAATAAACGCGGTAAAAAGTTAAACTTAGGAATAACTTGAGTGTAAGCAAAATTTGTACTAGTAATTACTTATTTATAAGTTTATTTCCTAGGCTGTATGATCTTAATTGCTAAAAATTATTAATAATTAATTGAATTTTACTGAGAATTCTTACCTCATGTACCAGTCCTTTACTTTGAAAGTTGTCATCAACAGTTTGGTTGAAGGCAAACTGACTTAATCTTTTATAATATGTTCCAACAACAAGCAAATCTGACACATAACCCTTTAAACGCTCCTTTGATATTCCTTCAAGTACTAAATTCTCCTTCATATAAAAGCAATTAGATTCTTCACTAAATGGAAATGAACTTGTTTCAATGCCAACTGAAATATAATCAAAATAATATTATAAATACACATTAATATTTATTATTATTATTAGATAAATGGATGTTTGTTAGACTTTGTAGCCTAAATGGCTAAATGGATTTCGATTAAATTTGATATAGATCCAGATGCTTATGGAACAATACATAAGCTACACACTTTTTTTAATTCCACGCAGATGCAGTCGCAGACGAAAGCTAGTTCAAAAATTAAATTAAATAATCTATTTCATGACTTAACTTCATTGATGTTTACTTACTTATTAGATATTTAATATGTCTTATAAATTGCTTTTCATTTATTACTTTTAAATGTGGTAGTTGTGTTTTATAAACTTTTTTCCATAGAGCAATTTCCCTTTTTGATGTTGCAATTATTTGTCTTTCATTCACTAATGGCATCTTTGCTGTAAAAACAATGAGATATCAATAGAAAGGAAGAATAATTCAATTTAACGATAATTTCACAGAATATACAAAACATCTTTAGAAAAGAATTCAAATAATAAACAATAAAATCATTATGTGCTAAGCTTTAGACCTAAGCTCACTAAATTTAGGGCTGGCCCACTGTTGGCTGATAGAGGGTCAGATAGCTTAAAAGTGACGTCATTGTCAGATAAGGGAACAAAATCCTATATTTCACACATTTTACATGTTGGATTGTTATCAGGCAATTTACAATTTGGTGGGTTAGGTCTTTACAGCTTTAACTACATGAAAATAATTCATTGTTAAAGGTAAATTGAAATGTTTACTTACATACAATATTCCATATATTTGCAGGTACATTTTTATCAACTTGTGTGGCTATCTCCCAAATATCAACAACATTTTTATCAGCCCTGTACATTTCTTCAACTGTACAACCAGTGTTAGAAGAAGGAAATGACACCTACACAAAAACATACAATCAGATAATTACAATATTATTATGTCAATATACATAGGTTTCAAATTCAAACAAAAAATAATTATGCTAACACTTGAATACTCCAAAATATTTTTGGTAAAACAATTTTTCTCACCAAAATTAAGTTATACTTTTGCAAAAAACTTCACTTTGTCGTTACATGTTTTACAAAATAATTAAAGAAGCCAGATATGGGTACAGTATGGAATTTGATGTCTTTGTTACCTAAATTTAGGCATACACTTGAAATAAAAGCTGGAAAGGATGATTGCAGAAGACTATGGTTTTCAAAACTCCAAAATTACTATGTAATTTATATAAACTATCCTCTAAATCTGTGCCAATGTATTACGATCCACTTAGCAGTTTAGGTTACGAATTCTAACAAACATCCATCCATCTAAATTTTGCATTTATAATACTAGTAAGATGTTAGAAGATGTTGTCTCTAGAACAATTTAACAGACCTCTTAAAAATTTTCACAGAGGTAGTCTGTAAGTTCTGATAGACTATTCACTTTTTTTGTAAACCCATGCAGATGGAGTCCCAGGCAACAGCTAAGAAGTTGTACTTACCTTAACATTCAGACCCAATGACTCAACAGTACTTGGTATCTCTAAATCTCTTGGTGCAGTCAATTTGGGAATATTTAAGATATTACTACTTGTGTATGATCCAAATCCAGCTGAAGAGTATGATGTCAATGATTTTGGCCTCATAAAAGATTTAATGTTATGCAGTCCTGGTACTTCAGAATTCGTTTTTTCCTGTATAACTGTAAATAGAAAGTGATAAAAATATTAAAATTGCTAATTAAGAATTTTTATTTATGTAAATACTATTTATTTGAAATACTTAAAAAAAATTATTAAATTACTGCAATGTCAATTTGTAATAGAGAAATTAACACATTATATAAATATTTTTAATACATTTAATTTAAGATTGTGAAAAAAAAGTAGCAATTTAAAAATATTTTTACATGATTTAGAGTCGAAACTCTCCACTGTATATGCTGTGTAAGATTTCTCATTATCTGGAACCAAGGCTTGCTTCTTTATAGTAAATGGCAATTCAAAAATAAATGAAGGATAATATGAATAAGGCTGCGGTGATCCAAATGCTTGTCTTGGCGGTTTAGGCAACATATCATCAAGGGCTCCAAATGAAAAAGGGCTCTGAAATATAATTTATACTCTAAGTATAGACCATGTAAGGTAATATCTATGAACAAGTTAGTATGTTTATAAATTTTATGTATATATAGAAAGTAAACCATTACCTGAAACATTGCCGTTTCCAAATCTGGTTTCTTTGTATTTTGTAAGCAAAGGAGAAGTCTCAAAACATTTTGAAAATGGTCTTTGTAGTCACCAAAATCAGTTTCATGTATCACATTAATGAGACCCTTCAATTCTACAGATCTCTTGTATTCCGCAACATTACTTGCGTTTTGTTGAGACACAAAACAAAACGACAATAAGTCTACCGTAGGCTCGTTATTTGAGTTCGGAATACTTAAAGTAGACTTTTTCAAAATTATTTCATAGGATATTGATCTCATTTTAGATGCAAGGACAGTTTGTGATGTACAGCTATGAGTTGTATATGAGGACGCGGTTTTCCGGCATAATTCAGAAATAAGCTCGTAAACTCCATTTGAACAATTTATGTCCATTATGCTTCTTGAAGGTTCCTTTTCAGATATTAAGCTAGGTGACAAATATTACTTAGCTGTATACTCGTTTTAGCTATAACATTTTATTAATAGTGAATTTCAAGATCTTTCAGGAATAAAAAATTACTAAGTCCTGAAACAAAACAAACTTGTTTGACATTTTGTCATTTATTAACGTAACAGATGACATTAAATAATAATTTTGACAACTGAAATAAAAAGCACAGATCTTTAAAAAATAATCCTAATAAAAAATAATAGTGGCCATTGGTTCTGACTCCCTTCTAATTTTTAAAGGACCACTTTGTTTTAGTGTTGAATGATCTAACATAGCCGAACATTAATGCAGTGCTTTTTTAAATACAAAGACAAAAATATAATATTCTTATTGCAAATTCTTGGTTAAAAAATAATCGGTATGTTAAATCAAATAAGTGAAACGATTCGGATTCGGATTTGGCGTTATAAAAAGTTCTCGATTTCGTCTCCTTCCTAGTAACCTATAAAATCTGTGAATATTAAGTAATTGTAAATATTTCCAAACATTCAATGTCTTGGACTTAATATTGTAAATGCGACTCAGTTTAAATTAGATAAAAATGAATCAAGCACAAGTTACGAAACTTGTTTCAAAATTACGAATAAATGTAGCTGCAGAGCCTCGTCGGCTTAGAAATCCCAAAGGACCGGAAGGCAGGTTAAATAAATTACGAAAAACTGTCACTGGATTAATTAAATATGAAAGAATTGAGTTAAATTACAATAGAGGCGATGAAGCTCGTCAATATGCCGAAAGGGTAAATATGCTTTACATTAATTAATTTAAACAGGACTAAATATCGCACTATAACTTGGTCATATATAATGATCACGATTTTAACTTGATTAACAGAATGCAAAGAGTTTAAAAACTAATATTTGTATAAGCGCAGATTTTTATGAGTACCAAGGAAACCTACCCTGTTATGTTCCATGATACAAGTTTTTAAATAATTATTTATCAAATTGTTTTCATTTCAGCTCATATCTGAAGCTATTACTCATGGTGACTGTCACAAGCCAACAATGGAAATAGCAGATTATTGGTTACTTGAAAAGGAACTTGTACATAAATTATTTAAAGTTCTTGTGCCGAGATATGAAAATTTCAATACAGCTTATACAAGAATGTATAAAGCACCACGGCCACAATACAGTCGAAACATTGAAAAGGCTGTTTTAGAACTCCGAGGGAACCCATATCCTGCTCTTGTAAACAAACAAAGAAATAACAGACATCTAATTCAAAATATTTTACTAGATGCTGCTAAATATGATTACAGACAAGCTAAATATGCAGAAATGGCTGATAAAATAGGAAGGTCTGAAGATCAAGTCGCAGAACAATCAACCAAAATGGGTGATTCTGAAGATAGTTCAACAGTTGATTCTCCTAATAAGCAAACTAACTGAATTAAGGCTTTAAGATTAATATTTAGATAACTTGTTTTAGACACATAGGAGTAGTAAATATGAATTATAATAATACTTCTAAAATGTAGATGGCTTTTATTTACTAGATTAAAAATTATAATAAAGATTACTTCCTAGTTCCAACTAAACATACAGGACATGTTGGTGATCTTTTTTTTTGTAACACAAGGTGGCAAACGAGCAAGCGGCCACCTGAAACCGCCAAAATGGCGAAGCGACCGCTGCCCATAGACATCTGCAATTGCAGATGCGTTGCCTACCCTTATATGACGGAGGAGGAGACGCACATACAGAGGATATTTCCCCTTCCTATGCATCTCCACCGTCAAATCCACTTCCTCTTCCCAACCTCTCCTTAAAAGAAAAGGGTGGTAAAGAGAAAGATCAGTCAACTTTTGCCTTGTTTCAGCTTTAAGAATATTATATACTACACTAAGCTTATCAGCTAACAGATGTCTGGTGTTAAGTGACACATATCTGGTAATACCCAGGACTACTCAATACATTTTTACTTTGTGTGTGAAGTTAATGTTTGAAATAGAATTGTCAGGTACATGTATTTATGTGCAATAATTTGTCAAGTATTGGTATCGGTCTGAGAATTAATCTATTGTAATAATCTAGGTAGACATGCCATACTGTTTCTGACAGAGACGACCTTGAAATGTAACAAAAGATATAACGCTTCGCACAAATCTACGCTAATTTCAATGAAATATGAAATTAACTTGTAGATTTTAGAATAACCTTGGGGTGAAAATAATATGATTTAACCTATTGGAAATAACAAAGTTTTAAATTAAAGAGTCTATTCTTCGTTCGATGTCGCATTTCAAATAGACCTTAATAGACTATTGTAGTCTGAATGGATGACTTAAATTTAATTTACAATGAGTGATTACGAAAAGTGAGGTTATGTTTGTCTCAATACGTGCAAGAACAAGATACTTATATCTACTTATTTGATAAGGCAGTAGATCAAAACAGTGAGTGACTGGTGCTTGTAAAATTCACTTGTTTAATCAAGAGTGATATAATATTGCAATTTTCTGTGAACCTTAATATATTTTTGTAGGTTTTTCTGTTGACTGTCGCAATGGATACGGGGGACGAAAAAGAGTCAAACCATAAAATTGTGGTTGTAGGATCGGCTAGTGTTGATTTTACAACGTATGTATAAATTTATAACGAATGCAAACACAGTTCAGTTACTTATGTTAGGATATGTTATAGGTACGCTTCTAGGCTTCCCAATCCAGGAGAAACGCTTCATGGATATAAATTTGTAACTAGTTACGGTGGGAAAGGAGCCAACCAATGCGTGGCTGCAGCTAAACTGGGAGCCAATACATATATGATAAGTAGAGTACGTTTAATTTATATCAATTGTTGTGAGGTTGTGACGTGTTGAAATATACACACAGGCGTAAAAGTAATCTCGTTCGCTGCACGTTTAATTAACCAACATCAATTTTTCTTTTAGCTCGGAGATGATAAATGGGGAACCGAATATAAAAAGTATTTGAAAGAACTTGGCGTAGATGTTGGTCATGTTACATTAACATCCAATGTCTCAACAGGCATTGCTCAAATTATGGTCGCAGAAAACGGAGAAAATAAAATAGTAATCGTCCCAGGGGCTAACAATCATTTAAGTTGTATAGATATTAAAGCAGCAGCCGAAATAATAGATACTGCTGATGTTGTCATAGGACAATTGGAAACACCACTTGAGTCAACACTCGAAGCTTTCAAACGTTGCAAGGGTGTATGTATTTTTTTACCTGTACATTTATAGTGTAGCAACTCTATTGGTGTTTGCCATATAAATTAAATACTATCTTTCAGCTGAAATTGTTTAATGCTGCTCCAGCTATAAAAGATACGGAGTTTATCTTTCCCTACTGTTCAATTTTATGTCTCAACGAATCCGAAGCTTCATTATATGTTGGCTTCGCGGTTGACCTAACGTAAGTTAAAAATATGATCCTATTTTAGTAAACTTTTTTTGTAAATATTCCTTCTTAAACATATATCATTACAGGAATGGATCTTTAGCGTTGAAAACAATTTTAGAATCAGGATGTGAAAAGGTCATAATAACTCTCGGAGATAAGGGTGCAATTTATTCCTCAAAACACGATAACAAATGTATTCATGTCTGTTGTGAAACAGTTGTACCCGTCGATACAACTGTAAGTACTTACTTTGTTATTTAACTTCTTTTTATCAAAAGTATTGTCCTTTGTTTAAAAATGTATATCTTACTTTTGGAAAAACAGGGAGCAGGTGATGCCTTTGTTGGCGCTTTAGCGACATTTTTGGTGACTCGTAAGGATTATCCTTTACATCAAATTATTGGAGCGGCTTGCGCAGTTGCAACTATGTCAGTAATTAAAGAAGGGACTCAAACCAGCTACCCTACTAGTTTTGATGCTTTCTCTAAGGAGTACGAATACAAAGAGTTGTAAAACATTATTTTCAATTTTTATTCACCTTAATTCCCTTATCCTTTCTGAATCTAACAACTAGTAAAAGTTACGTTTCATTTTATGTCTTAAATCATCATCATCATCATCAGCACAATATACGTCCCCATTGAGGGGTCTGGAGTCTAGGTGACTAAGCTCTAGTCAACGACGCTGGCCATGTGAGTGATGGCTGACTCTACACGTATCTTTAAATTTATTCACCGATATCTTAAGTACTTTTTAATAAAATTACAATGCCGAAATGTAGATCGTCACTCCAAAAATCCTTAACAGCTCTGATAAAACTGCACGGAGAAAGACATACCTGATAGTGTCTGAAATAGTGTACGGGCTAATTGGTTTTTTAATTCGGCGCGGACGAAGTGGCGGGTTTTTCCAATTAAAACAATATTCGAAAGCAAACGTTTATTATTACTTAGCATATAAATTATAATATCTAGTTACATTTGAATTAAGGAATCTAAACAATAGCAATTCTAAAATATATGTTTACGCAAAAGAACATATTTATTCTAACAACGCAAGTCTGAGCAAATGGGCACACTACACCTGCCTTCATAAAAACTCCATAGGGGATTAGTTACTATGCCTTGCCTATATTATTGTAATTTTATTGTTTATTTCAGTATATGTTCTTTCTACAAGATTCTACTTTAAGTCTCTAGTATTAGTCTTAACTGAATAATAAATACGTATACATTTCACCATATATGTTGTCGCCAAAAACATGTGCGTTTTCCAAATAGTAAAACGCTTATCATACACTCCTAATAAATGTTTTATCATTCGTCAAAGATTTTATAAGCTGATTATTTTATTAAAACATTTATTATACAATGTGGCGTGTGGCGGATGTCCTTGGGCGCCAGTGTTTCCTTGACATGAGAAATACCGGTCCCTGATCATTAGCCCCCTTTATCATATAAAATTTAATCTGGTAATGCTAACATATTTGATTCATAGGATATATCATAATCAAACAAGCATAATATATAAAATGTGAAATAGTGACATGTTTATACAACGTGGGCAAAATGACCATATGACAAACCCAACCATGAAGCATAAAAATAAAACAAGACAAATCAAGGCATATTCTTCCAATGGCTAAAACTAGGTTTTATAAATTCCGGATTCGTGAAAGTGAAAACAAATTAAATATCACGATGAAATAACGTAATAACTTTATTTTATCCTCATTCGATTCTTAAGTTTAAACACATGTGAATAATCTAACTAATACAATAAATAATTTAAAAGAATAGTTTTATCTCATTGGAAGTTTGTCAAATCGATGTAAATTAACATATAACGAACGAAAATATAAAACTATACTCAGTAAATATGTCTAAATTAATTGTAATATATAGAAATTCTAAACTAATTTTAGCACTTTATTATACACAGATTTAATATTAATCCATATTATATAATTAAACTGTGTTATTACAATAATGGTTACATATTTTCTCGAAAACAAAGGTAAAAAAATGTCGCCAAGTTTTGTGGCTATTTTAAATGGGTTAATTTTTATATAATAAATTCCACTAAATATTAAGGCTCACATGTAATAGAACATTCAATGGCGAATATACAGTTGTTAACGGTTGGTGTAGAAAGTTTCGTGTAAAATCTACAAGTAAAGTTTTATTTGTTCTGACAAGAATTCAACATGACCACATCATACTCTAGATGGATTATCTGTGCATACCCTTAAAATTTTAAATTATCATCACGGTAGTTTTTCTTGTTATAAAACTTGCAACATTAACTTTTTGGGATTAGTTTTAGAAAATACGTAAAAATTTACCAAAACAGATAAGTGTGAAAGCCATGATTAATATAGATTTTCGATAGGATTATACCCTATCTCCTTCCGTTAATTTATAACTCCAGAAAAGACAATTAACTAATGTTTTTAAGTCCATTATATGCTTGTTCCTTCACTGAATTGCCGTTTTTCTTAATCACGTAAGCTCCATTTTTGATATCAAATGAACTATTTTTAATATACCTCCATAACATCGTCAATATTCTAACGCCCAAATTATTCACTGAGGCAATGCTACTTTTAGATTTAATGTTGCCAATTAAATATATAAATGGGTATTTGCACAAATCGGGACCTTCAAACAACATTGTAATTTATAATTTGGAACACTTTTACAGCAGTTTATATAACAACAGTAGAAAGGCGATTTACCGGGCTGTCGATACGCATCCGGATAATCGAATGGAATGTCTTAAGAAAATCGCGTTTTGTGCACATCTAGTACATATAGTAGTGTGTTGTGTTCATGCATATTAGGTTTGATATATTTTCCAACATAAGATTTGCTAGTTAAAATAACGAAATGCGCGGGGCAGTGGTCCCGAAGGACGCGGACGGGTGGTGACGGTAGTTCCGATAACTAAGTTTCAATTCTACTTTTTTCCAAGAAGCACGTTTTCCTGTACGCCTATTTTTGGATTCCGACCCTTCACTATATATTACACAAGCCTTAAGAAAAAATACTCAGAAATACGATAAGAGTATTTTATAGTTATATAATTTTGTATTCGTCGAAAAAATCTAAATAAGCGAATAGATTCAAAAAATTCTTTGATTTTGATAGCTACTACAATTTTCGTTACCTTAATTGAAGTGGCGATATAATTTTCACATCTACCCACAAACCTTGTCATTGATGATTAAGAAATTGTCTGTACTCGAACATTGTTGCCATTACAAAAAAAAAACATACAGACGAATTGAGTACCTCCTTCTTTTGGGAAGTCGGTCAAAAAAAGATTAATTAAGAAAAATTACTTTCTGATCCTATTTGTTGAATACTAAGGTAATATCGATTGTTTCAGGTCGTAAGAGTAACACATAATTTTTAAAATTGTCAAGTAATGCAGTGTTTCTTAATTTTAATATATCATAGATGTGTCATCTGTAATAAAATGAAGACTAAAATAGATGAATAGCAAGATTTTCTATACAAAAATCAAAACTAATTTACAATTCCAAATGCATGATAAAGTTAAAAAAAAAGATTTACTTTGTTTTTAATTTTTTTTTAAATCATAGATGGATAAACAAAAGAAGGATAGTTAAAATGCAAGTCAGCTTTCGTTTAGAAATATGATTCACTAATGTTTTGTTACTTACCTCAAATTATTTTTTACTTTTAACATAGTCTTGACAATCCATTCAGATTTATCTTTAAAAATTTTAACATTTGTATTTTAAGTGAAAACATATCAGTCCTACATCATTACAATTAGAACTTACATTGTTTATTTCGATTTTCTGTGCTATTACTTTTCTTAACTTTGAAAGGCTATGCAAAAAATAGAAATTATGTTAAAAGCAATAATTCAACATGTTGGAAAATCTTAGTTACCTATTACCTGTCTTTTTTATCTTGAAGTAAAGGTGGTCATGAGGATCTAGAAACAGATTTTTTAGTAATAATCTATATAATATATATTATAGAAATATTGTACAATATATTTTTATTCAAAATTGAATAACCAGTTGTATTGCAAAGCAATGTTCTCTTAATTTATTTATACATTAAATCTTAGACTTTTCACCATCAATTAATTCAACATTTAAACAAAATGTTACAATACCCTATTATTAATGCACATAAATATGGTCAATGTCCCTAGCATTTGATTTGTTAAATTATTCAGTGAAAGACATACAATCTTCCTAGTTCACTCTCATTCACAATTTGTAGTAACATTTGTAAGTCTTCTAAACTGGAGATATATTTAGGTGCTCCAATAAATTCAACAGGTTTACCCTCTAATTCAATGTTATATTTCAAATTTTTCGGACATGTCACCAACTTTAAACATTCATTGTCTAACATTTTTTTAAATACAACATGTGTTACATTTGCAATATTAGGAATTGAAATGGCGACATTTTGTTCATTGGTTTTTGTATCAATTACTTTTACTTGTATGTTCATGTCAGTTGGAGTTAATTTTAAATCATTAGAAGGAACAATTTTATTGTTTTCCTTAGATTCACTCTCCACTAGATTACTAACTTCAGAAGTATCATCTGTTCCTTGACTATCACATGGTAAATGTTCTTCAATACCTTTTTTTAATGCCTCATCAAGTATTGATGGACTGTTCGGATTTATCAATGTATCAGATACTTCAATAAATGGTTTTTCAACAAATTTCTCCAAGCCATCATCTTTATCCTTACTACTGCCAGTGATATTGTTTAATTGATCCATATCTTCTATTAGTTTATTTACATCGGAGCTGTCAACATCCATTGCCATTGGTTCTGAGGCTTTATTTTCAATATTTGATTTTCCTAACAGCATTGATTCCACGTCATTTGATTGTAAGTGATCTTTTAAAGGTTCAGAACTAGGTTCGGTTCCCTTTTGAACAGTTTCTTGATTTTTCTCTGTAACATTATCATTTAGAATATCCATTATTGAAGGAAATTCTTCAACCTTGACTTCAGGCGCTTCTGATTTTATCTTTTCCATTGGTTTTTCATTATACATTAAGTCTTCTAATTCTGCCGCTATGCGATCATACACTTTATCATCTTTGGGTTCTTCATTTTTAGGAAAATAATCTATGTGCCAATCCTCTGATGGCAATATACTTTTATTTAGATTAGGTAATAAATCAGATAAAGATATTCTGTTTTTCAATTCATTGTTATTGTTGTTGTTGTTTATTGTTGGTGAAGTAAATATAACACTATATTGTTTTAAGCCTGAACTCACTTTTTTAACATTTGTGTAGCCCTTATCACTAACTAACTGATGTTTTGTCAATCCATTATTTTCCCTAAGTATGTTACTTGGGGGATGTGCCTTCTTAGATTCATCACATTCTAAAATTACTGAATCTGGATCAACGTAAATATCATTTACCTTAGAATTTTTTGGAGTCCGCAAGACCTTTGGGGGCTGCTTTTTGTAGGTATTCTTTGGGGTAATTCCATTCTCACTGCACTTTGACATAGAATTTTCATTTGCCGAAAAGGATGAAACGTTTTTTTTCGGCTTGGGTGATGTACTTTCATATTGGATTTTCACTTTTGTAAATTTACCGAGAATTTTAGCAAAGTCCATTCGAGTCACAAGAACTTTACATTCTCGACATTTTCCTTCTTTATATAAACGTTCCAAATTTCTGGACATTTTGTAAATACGTCCTCTTTTACTTTCTCGTCCTTTAAATGAAATCATTTTTTAAAATAACCTATTAAAAACACAAATATATTAAATGTTTTTCTACTAGCATTTGGATAGGATTAAAAGAAACGTAGCAACATTTCCCGCGCAGACGATATCACCGCGAGTGTATTAGACACTTTTTTTAAAGTTAGCTTTCCACAAAGCTAGATTTATCAAGTTTCAGATAACTACGTGATTTTAATTATAAAACTTTATTTGAATTTGTTTTTACCAGAAATTACAAAGGACACCGTCGAGCAACAACACTTCATACAAGCGAAAATGGCGTCCCAATAGTGATGTGATCGAAATCGAGATGACATAAATGTTTGAAATGTGAAGTCGATTGCCGATTTCGATCGAATATCGATGTTCATTTTTAACACTAGAAGAACAGATGCAACCCGCGTTTTTAATGAGTTTTTGTAATTTTATGTTTTAAAACCATAAAAATTATAGTAGCACTATGTATTATTTATTTTCGACTTAACTGTAAGTGTGTCTTGCAATACCAAAAAAATAAGTTTCAAGTTTAAATTGATTCAATTTAATGACAAAAAGATTTATAGTAAAAATTCTAATTCTAAAGTAATTGGGTTTAACAAATTCTCTTTAACCTCGTATATTTCCTAAAAGTAAGAAAAATAATTACATTATAGAAGTTGCTTAGAATAACAGTAGGCTTGACAAAAAAATAGTGAATTAACCGATTTCAAATCTAATTAAATTACCATGTTTTTATTGCTTAATCCTTTTTATTATGCTTCCGAATGTTTTCATCTGTTAAAGTTAGTTAGTGTAAACGTTGTTTTTTTTTCTTTTATAAATTAAGGTTAGTTTTTTCTAAGGTTTTGTTTAAATTACCTTGATCTGAAATACAATTTGACCTCCTCTCTTATCCCATGATGGTCGGATGCAATCGAGGGCAAGGGTGAGGCCCTGGCAGTTAGTTTGGACGTGGCCAAGGCCTTTGATCGGGTGTGGCACAAAGCACTTCTTTCGAAGTTGCCTTCCTACGGGCTGCCCGAGAAACTCTGCGCCTGGATTTCCAGCTTCTTGGAGGGTCGGAGCATCAAGGTCGTTGTCGACGGTGCATGCTCTGACCTGAAACCAATCAATGCTGGGGTCCCACAGGGCTGTGTACTGTCTCCCACCCTGTTTCTTCTGCATATCAATGACATGCTGCGAATACGCAGCATTCATTGTTATGCAGACGATAGCACTGGTGATGCACTGTACACGGCCCGCGCTAATGTTTCTCGGGCCACTGCCGATGAGAACCGGAACAAACTTGTGTCTGAGCTGGAGACCCTCTTGGGTGAAGTTTCGGATTGGGGTCGACAAAATCTTGTCGATTTCAATCCTAAAAAGACACAAGTATGCGCCATTACCGCTAAAAAAAAGATCCCTTTGTCGTCAATCTCCGGTTTGAGAACACTCCCCTGGTTGCCACAGCCAGTATCGGTATTCTCGGCGTTGACATTTCGAGTGACGTTCAGTTTCGCGGTCATTTGGAAGACAAGGCCAAGCTGGCCTCTAAAAAGCTGGGTGTGCTTAATAGGGCGAAGCAGTACTTCCAGTCGGGCCACCGCCTTCAACTTTACAAGGCGCAAGTTCGGCCCCATATGGAGTACTGCTCGCACCTCTGGGCGGGAGCACCCCAATGCCAGCTTCTTCCATTTGACCGCATACAACGGAGAGCGACTCGAATCGTCAACGACCGAGCTCTTACCGATCGGCTAGATCCTCTGGCCTTGCGGAGGGACGTCAGTTCCCTCTGCATTTTTTACCGTATTTACCACGGGGAGTGTTCCGAGGAGTTGTTTGGAACGATTCCTGCCGCCGAGTTTCGTCATCGGACGACACGACAGACCGCCAGGTACCATCCTCACCATGTTGATGGCTGGCATTCCACAACCGTGCGGTTTTCGCGGAACTTTTTGCCCCGCACAGCCGCGTTGTGGAACGGTCTGTCCTCGGCGGTATTTCCAAACCAATACGACTTAGGGTCCTTCAAGAAGAGAGCCTACAATTTCCTCAAAGGCCGGCAACGCATCTGTAGTTCCTCTGGTGTTGCGGATGTCCATGGGCGTCGTTGACCACCTTTGTGTTCCCGCCGCTCGTTTGCCCCCTTCTCTTATAAAAAAAAAAAAATGCAGATCTCAAAATAGGCTTTAAACCTAGGCCTTGTAAAAAAATTGAGCAAATCCACAAATATCTGATATTTTACATCTGACGTATTCTTATCAAAATTCTGGTAGTTACAAATTAGATTTCTGTAATGACGCAGTATTTAACAGAAAATCTAATGAAACAAAATTTTTAAAACGCTTAAACTTAAACGCAACAGTGTCCCCTAGAGGTCCCAAATGAAGGATAAATGTTTTTAATTTCCTTTGAGCTAATGACTTATTTAAATCTCAAATACAGTCTAATGTATTCTTTCTATATGTCTTTACTTTCTTATTCTATATTCTTACATTAGAATTATTTTTCAAACGATAGGAACACAAATCGAATCAAAACTATCGAACCATTACCAACCATTACTTGAGCACATCCCTAATCAACCAAAGACATTTCTAATAGTTTTAAAAGCTCCACAGACAAATATTTTTTTATTTTCTATGACAACTCCGCTTTATACAAGAATTTAAAAATAACATTATCTGTGGTACAACATGTCAACTTGGTCGGAAAGTTAAAAAGTCAAGATGGCGGTATTATTGTAATGAATAATCGTACTACTAGTTATGCGTTGTAATAATAAGAGTGTGTTGTATTTACTGAAAAAGTAACATTCTTACTCTTACATTTAACAATTTTTATATAAAATGTCTTGGCCGATGCAATCTGGGTCCTGGAATGCTGGAGTTCCGATGACTCCGAATATGAACATGGGGTATACCCCTGATCAGTGGACTCTAATACAACAACAAAATTGGCAACAGTGGGCACAATGGCAACAACAATATGCCCAGTGGCATCTACAATATGGAGACAAGGTTAGGTTTAGTTTTTGATTGTACTAAAAGAACTGTCCCGAATAATCAACATAGGGCTACTACTGGGAATTAAAGATTAATTCGATAACTTTTGTTTTAGTATGCTGAGCAAATGCAGACTGTACCAGCAATGGGTGCTGGACCTCCCTTACCTCCTGTTAATTGTGCACCACCTCCTGCGCCTCCGCCGCCCGATCAACCCCCACCGCCGCATAAAAACGACCGGCCTCTCTATACTCCTAAACCTCCACCACCATCACACACTCCCACTCAGCCAGATAATATAAATAATACAAAACCCATGGACGGTAACTCCCAAGCTTGGTCTAATACTGCAGACAACAGAAATGCTATTCAGAATTCTGAGGCTCTCAAAAAATTGTTAGAGGAAGAAAGATTGTTTGACATTCAATTTCATAAATGGGAGGAAGAGATTGAGAAGTGGAAAATGGAAAATGTTAATCATCCTGATAAACAAGCTTACAGTGAATATGAACAGAAATTTGAAGCTTGTCGAGCACAGCTGTTAGAGAGACGTCAACAGATGAAACAAAAACGAGCTCGATTAACTGGAATTGCCCCTCCAACACTAAGTAACACTAGTTCGGTCAATAATATTCAACTTGTACCACCACCACCCCCCAATTCAAATAAACCTAATAATGTCCCTCCAAGCGCTGTACAAACACAAAAACCTAATAGTAATCCAGATACAAACTATACTCATCAAAGTCAATTTGACCAAAATCAATACCAACATTATGAAGATGTTCAACATGCATATAATAATGACAACAGTTATGTTCAAGCAGAGGCAACACATACAAATAAATCCTATGAAAATGTTGACCCTTACTATTCCAATATGGAACAGTCGAAATTTTTGCCAACAAATGAAAATTCTAAAGGTATACCAGGATTAGATCTGATACCTGAGGATAAGATGTTAAAACCACAAGATGTTATTGATATAACTGGAGAAACGATGAGTGAGATAAAAAAAATACATTCACAAACTCCAGATTATACAACAATATCCAAAGGCATTAATAATATATTGGGAGATGAAAAAATCATGAACATACTTTCAATGGTTTGTCAAAAACCTGTCGATCCTGTCAGAAATCAGTCACAGAGTAATATAGAATCAACTAACTCTTACCAGTATAATAATAATTCCGATTTTGGTACAAGACAAAATATACCCTACAGTCAGGGTTCTAACGATTTATACAACAAAGGTAATGGGAAATTTTCACAAACTTATAACCAAGTTCAAAAGGAACCAATGGATCAGTATTATGGCAATTATTCACAAAACAATGTCCAAAATGTGCCGCCAAGACATCAAATTAATACAATGCCCTTGGCTCAACCTTTGCAAACTCAGCCTATACAAAGTAACATTGATAATTATCATAGAGCTCCTCATGAGGCAAGAAATATTCCCGATCGTCCAATACTTCCAACTCCAACCCCTGTTCCAAGGTCAAAGTGGGTTGATCAACCTATGTTTACACCATCAATTATAGTTGAATATGAACATAAGCCATTGCGATTAAAAGGTAACTTATCATTTTCATTAAGTAGTATTAAGTACAAAATGTTAGAGTAGTTAAGAATAATAATTACTCTCTTTGTTGAGCTTAAAACAATGTATAGATAGGTCTATTACTTTTTTAACAAATAGTTTCAGAGCTCACAATTATTTTATTTTCAATTTACTTTTAGCTCGTGATTTTATTGAACCTGTGCACATATTTGAGTACAACCATAAATCAAAGCACAGTGATAACAAGAAGAAGGATTTTGAAAGAGAAGCAGATGAACTGTTTGTAAGACATCCACGGTCCAGTAATATTGATAGCTTTCCCCCTGAGAGAATGAACCGAGAACTTTATCATAGAGATTATGAACGAAGACCTAGAGATATTAGAGAACCGTACAGGCCACGACCTCTAATGAGAGATGTATATGATGATAAGCGTAGAGGTGATGGCAGATTAGATGATTGGAGAAGAGATGAATCTATTAAGTTTACCCGTAGAGAAGACTTTTATAGAGATAGAGAAAAGGGTAGAGAGGAATTTAAGGACAGGTACAGAGTGTATAGAAAGGATGACAATAGGAATCGTAGTAGGAGCAAAGAAAAGGAAAACCGGAAAAGAGATCATAGCAATGATGATGACAGTTTTCCTGCTAAGAAGGGAAAAGAAACAGCAGAAAATAAAGAGATTGTGAAAACAAAGCATGTTGTTATGATAGACGATATATTAGAACCTCCAGGACGGGAAATGAGACCCAATAAAATTGTTATATTTTTAAGAGGTTTGTATTATATTTTGTAATGTTTATATATTTTATTTGTATTCAAACTACACTGGTTTCATTGTTTTATTCTAATTGTAGGTTTGCCAGGCAGTGGTAAATCTTATTTGGCAAAATTAATAAGAGACAAAGAAGCTGAGTATGGTGGAACAGCAAGAATAATGTCCATAGATGATTACTTTATGCAAGAGGATGAAGTGGAAGTTAATGATCCCGTTACTGGCAAAAGTGTTAGTTATATAAATTCCTAGATATTTATACCTCTGTATTCTTTGTTTCAATGTTTACTAGCTGCCGCCCATGACTCTGTCCGAGTGGAATTAAAAGTGGTTAAGTGGCTTATCTGTTCGTCCAGACTAAGTTCATCTAAGTCAAATTTCATGGAGATCCAAACTGTTTAGGACATGCCTTCTAACAAACATATAAACTTTCGCATTTATATAATACTAAGATTGTATATATCTAATGATACAAATGTATGTAATTTTTATTTTGCTGTACACTTTAGGTTAAAAAACCTACACTAAAATATGAATATGAAGCAAACATGGAAGAAAGCTATTTGAATTCATTAAGGCGAGCTTTCAAAAGAAGTATTACGGATGGTTATTTCACGTTTATAATATTTGATGCAGTGAATGAATGTTTAAACTCTTATTCGGAAGTGTGGAACTACGCCAGGCAACATGGATTTCAGGTAAATACATTTACTTTTTAATTAAAAAATGTAGACATCTCAATTCGCATTTATTTCCATTTGCATTGTCTTTTAAAGTCTATAATGCTAGATAACTGGAACCCATTTGTATTTTCGTAGTAGTAATATGATCTAAATGATGATCCTTTTTATTATTTTGTCTTCCGCTTTTATATAAATAGGATAATTAGATTTTCAATATATAAATAGTTATTGCTCGCAACTTCGTCCGTTTGAAATGTAAAAACTATAACATAGATTTCTGATGGTACAAGAATTTTTGAAATCGGCCCAGTTTTCGAGTTATTTCAATACAAACAAAAATACAATATTCTTTATAATGTTAGTGTAGATGAATACATGATATATGCAGAAATACACATGTAAACCATAAATTTGATATACCTTTTTATAGATTACTAGCTTTCGCCTGCGACTCCCTCGAGGTGCAATTAAAAAAAAACACAAACAACAGTATTCTATGTGTTCTTGCAGACTATTTTCTACATCTATGCTAAATTTCATTGAGATTCGTTCAACTGCATAGGCTACAAACTTTACCAAACATCCATCCATCTAAACTTTCGTATTTATAATATTAGTAAGATAATGTTTATGATGTATAAATTTAAATTTTCCAGGCGTATGTTTGTACAATGGAGGGGGATGTAGCAACGTGCCACAAGAGGAACATACACAACCGTACGTTGGAAGACATAGAGGTGCTGAAAGCGAAGTTTGCTGCTACTCCGGAGTTCCACATAGAGCTGGACGCGACCACGCTGCTACAGAGCGCCGCCATCACCGACGTGCACATGGAGGACGCTGATGATGCTCTCAATATGGAGGATGCAGGGGAACAAACGGAGGTGAGATATTTCTAAAAAACTTTCAGGTATCTGACAAAGGCCAACAACTTACCGATGATTATACTCTATGCTTTATATATGTTTGAAATATATCAGTTTTGTTTGCATTATACTACAAATGTTCCCGAATTATTGATGTTTTTGTATTTTGTAATTATGTATTAGATGTAGTATGGATAGGGTAACAGATTTTATTTCAGCGTTGTAACTAAAACGGCAGAGTTCTAACACAGGTTGAAAATCATTTTACATCGAAATGGGAGAAAATGGACGACGCTGTCAAACTAGGTAGGTTTGATGTGAAATTTTATTTATGGTTATTGTTTATATATTTTTAATATTACCCCTGTCAATTTCGCCAATATTTTATGATTATAAAAAAAAAACATAATATGATATTTAAGTATGTAAATGTACTGAAATATTGTTATATTTATATGAAGATTATATAAAAATAAGATTTATGACAGTGATAGTTGATTTGTGGTATAAATTGTTGCAGCGCGACTGGACGGCACCAGCAGACCGCTGCGGCCCTCGCAACTCTCCATGGAAGACTACCTCCAAATAGATGATTGGAAACCAAATGTTGCAAAACCGGGAAAGAAAACTGTAAGTAAAGTTATTGTTTCTAAATCTCTAATTCGTGAATTGCACACAATTTGATTTTTTTTGTGGGCTTTTAATGGTTTTTATTCAGAATTAACACCAAACAGATGTTCGGTTATTGATATCAGATCCTAAGTTTTTGCAGCTTTTGACAAATAATGTTAGCAGACAAGTCAATTTTCAAGCAAGACAATGTCTGTTCGGTTTGTTTCCCTTGGAAAACTTTATTAACTTTTTTATTGCGACGCATTTATTTTTGATTAGGTTATAGTGCCGAAATTTTTTAACTTTTCACGATTAAAAAAAAATCGGTTTAACGTCCTTCGTTTCCTGCTTTGTTACTTTATAACAATGAAATAAAAAAAGATTATTAAAAAATCAAATGTCTTTAGTTCAAATATTTTATGGCAGTTACAAGGTAAGGCTAATTGGTTAGTTTTTTAACCTAAACTCCAAAAATGTTTTTTAAGTTAGCTCATGGTAATACGAATAAATGTTAAAATCTAAATTTTATACAGCAATTAAATTTAAATCCGTGTTTAGTTGTTAAATTTATAGTGAAAAAGGTGAGTGTAAAATATTTTTGTGTTGTATTTTACCTTATGGCAATTTAAAACAGGTGCGTTGGGCAGATATAGAAGAGAGAAGGCAGCAAGAGAAAATGCGCGCTATCGGCTTCGTTGTCGGCCAGACCGATTGGAATCGGATGACTGATCCGACAATGGGGTCGAGCGCTCTCACACAGACTAAGTACATCGAGCGTGTGCGACGCACTTAATGTTAATGTACAGTCGGGGAATTTCGCGGTGTTCCACTTTAAAATATATAGTTTGAACGATTTATACGCAGTCAGACGACACAGTACAATGACCAATAGAACGCAGTTTTAAATGTGTTTACGAATAAAGGTCGGTCTAAACTCTAATGGTACACGTTTAATTTATTTTTGTTAATAACTAGCTGTTTCTCGCTAATTTGTACATGTGAATATATTACTCACTGATAACGTAGTTTTTTTAATAGTAAAAGAATTGTTTAAATAGGTTCAATAGTTTTTGAGTCATTAAAATACATACAAGAATACAATACAAATCTTTCCTCTTTATAATATTAGTATAGACTGGTTATTTGCGAGCAGATACACATTGTCTGGTTGCAAGGAACTAGGCAATTTTTCTGTAAGTGGAACATCGCGGATTTCCGCGATTGTACATAAATGTATGTAATGTAATACGTACCCTCTATACATAGAGCCACTTAACACATTCAAAGCTACCAAATCTACATGAAAAAGGGCAGTGGCATTGAACATGGTAAAAGTTAATAATTGCAGACCGATATATTAAACCCTTCATGATATCTATAATAGATTAAATTCTCTCATGAAATTTAAGTTTGTTTTGAATATTCATCTGTATTGAAGGTATTTAAATTTACATTTATTTAATTAAATAATAAAAGGTGTATATTTCCTTTTCATGTTCTACACTTAGTTCAATTGTAAACATTTTTAAAATCCTCACGTTTATGGTGGAAAATATCAGAGCACCTAAATATTGAACTCATGAAATAAAATGCATGTAACAAACAAACTTACATAGGTATAGTATTCTTTCCAAGCCAATATTTTGTTTGCCAAAATACTTATGGCAACTAACATATTAACTAGAATACTACCTTAACACTGTATAATTGGCTTTCAATATTAACGTTAGAGGAATTAATCAAGCTATTATAATCGCTTTATTTGGTTAAAACTCCCTGTAGTTTTCATAATTTAATACTTTCGCTGCCACAAAAAATGTTTTTGTTTGATGTAGACTGGCGAGCCATGTTGTCGGCATTGAACGTGTTATTATTTGTTTATTTAATTCAATAGGACCAATCGGTTTTAGCAATATTTAGTACATTACACAATAACAATGTTTAATAATCTAGTGTTTTTAAAAACACTTAAACTTTAGTAATAAAAGTTAATGTAGTTTTTTTTAAGATAAGCTAATGTAATATTAATTAAGATTTGGGTCTCAAGTTTGCTAGACGACCCGATTTTTTTTAAATAATGGGATATAAACAAATAAAATGATGCATTTGTGTAATAGAAGCTTTGTAGCGTCACAGAAATTATCTATTTATTACTTTATTAACATGTTGATAAATTAGGTAAATCTTTCATAGTTAATCGATTTGTTAGTATTAGATTCAATTTATGGTATTGTTACCAACATGAATTTTATTCTTCAAATAATTAGTAAGGCATCTGATTTGTCAGTGAAAGCAAGATTATTATGAATTTACTTTGAAATTCATGAAATTCGTTTGTATATAATTGGTATAATTAAACGGTACCCTTTGAATTGTTATTTTTATTTAAATAAACCTATAAATGAAAGTGCTTTTGTTTATCTTTTAGAAAAAAAAACTAGTAATCGGTTTCATCGTAAAAATTAGCGAAGATTGAACTTCGACCGCTGTTGTTTTTGAAAATTTTTTTTTGCGCTCCATTTTGTGGTCGAGGTTCTTCGGTTTTTATTTTCATCAAAGTTTTCGATGGCGTTCCGTTTTGATTTTCGAACGCGTTCTTATCGATTGTTTTTTTATTCAAATTTGAATTTTCCGTTTGAGAATCGTTTTCGTCGTTTGATTTACCGGTTTTATCTATTTTATTGGTATGCGAGATTTTCGCGATATTATCTTCGCTTTCTTTGCCCGCGGTCATTATCATTACTTGAGGCGTGCCCATGTTTGTCATGTGGTCCTTCAAGCACTGCTGCAGTATGTGCAGGAAGAATAGAAATGCGAGTAGCGTTAGGGCGGACATTGCTGCGTCGCTTTTGTGACCAGTGCCCGAATGACTGAAAAAAAGTAAAAAAACACTTACATCGCGTTATGTTATTTACGTTTATGTTACACATTTTTATGTTTTACGACAATGTTTTTATAAACATTGTGCACGAGATTATTTTTTTAGAAATAATTTATCTAACGTTCGAGTATTTCAGGAGAGGATAAATTAAAAACATGACAAGGGTTTTTTCGGTTCTAAATTCTATTGCACCCATACTTAATTTGAAATTCCGCAAGAACGTGGTCAAAAATAACGCTTTGATAAAATTATTTACTTACTGTTTAGTGGAGACACCATGGCTGTGCGGAGCTGCAGACGGATCATATGCGTAAAATAAGGGCTGATCATGCATTGGCCCCGTGAATTCTGTATACCTAGAAATAATATGCTATCACACGCCTAATATTTATTTTCTCGTTTGTGAAAAATGAGGAAAAAATTACCTGTCGGTAAGTTTTGTATCCAAACCCATTCGGGATAGAAAATTGTCCAATGCCATTAAATTGTCACTGGCGTCGAGTTGCGAGAATACTAAGATACAAACTGAACGTATTCAGTAAGTTGGACTGTGCTTTTCTCTTACTTATCCCATTATTGCGCTCTATAAAGTTTTGTTCCATAAGATATGTCAAGCGTAAGCTTAACGGTATTTCATACTTGATGTTTGTCTCCGAGGTAAAAATATTTTTATCTATACCGCATTTACATACAAAATCGTGAACCGCATAACCAAATATTCTTGTGTATTAAAAAAACGGATTCTAATTTTTATTGGTTTTGATATTTAGTATTCTTCTTTGGCGTTTACTTTTACATAATTTAAAGTGGGATTCAAATAATAAAGGTATTCAAAATCAAAAATGCAAAGTTCGTTGATACATATCTCCGTCCTGTATTCTTTTTATTACATTTCTTTTATAGGTTTGATCACTTTAGGACTTGAAGAACCCTGAGAAGGTAAAATACTATCGCCTACTCTTTGACACTATGTAATCCATAGTGTTGCCAGGTATTCGTACACGTGGGTTACGAAGTAAAAAATAGTTTATATAAATTAATATTTTATTCAACAATCACAATCACACAAGGACGTCCTCAATCATACATGATCACAAAAATATACACATAATATTCATAACTAAACTATAAGGTGATATAAATGTTTTATATCACACAATATTAAATTTTACATCAGTCGTTATTACAAAATTGGCGAAATTGCTGGTTTAAATGCCAATCACTTTCAATTTGAACTCTTTACCGGACGGAATTTTGATGCTTTTGCCTATTTTCACGTAATACTTTGTAATGCCTATGTAATTAACCTACAGAATAAGTTAAATAAATAAATAAATTAAAACTTATAAAATACTACACATGACATGTTCTTCAAATGTGCGATGGGATAGCTTGCACGAAATTTTCCGATTACATAAACAGGAATCGGTCGGATTTGTTAATTTTAGTAGTCTCTTTTAGGATGCTAAAGTACCAAAAATTATAATTTGGCTTATAACGACATTTTTCATTTCTGTATTAGTTGATTTCGAATGTAGTATTTTTCTCCACTGCTTTCGTGTTTTGGGTATATTGGCTGTATATTGAAATGCAGTAGTAGTCTAAACTTCATTGCATTCAAGATACAACTGGCGACAATCAATACCAGAGCGGCCGCGGCGACCGGCTTCATAGAACTGCTCGAAAGTACCTCCCGATTGCCTCTCTAATACGAAACTTGCTGCGTATCTGAAAGGAAAAAAAAATATTCTTAAGAAAATGAAACTTATCGGGGATTTTTTCTCATGTAGTTCGAGAGAAAACTCCAAGAACTTAAAGTTTTATTTCGTAGCTTCGGCAGTTTATTTTTTTTTTCTAAAATATTCCTTAAAGGACTCACAAATTTTCCTTCCTTCCTTTTCCTTCAGATCATACGATTATCATGGATCTTAAACGGTTGTCGTATATCTACAACCAACAAGAAGAAAATACTTACGTTCCAAGTTGACAGAAGATGCTTTTCGGTCCAATGTCTGATGAACATTCATTGTTAGCATCACACACATACTTTTGAAGGCATTTATCATCATTAGTTCCGAAGGACCGAACGTAAGTCTTGAGCATTGAAATTCCAGCGATCGCTGCGTCACTGACTGAATCCTTGCGACCCATGGATCGTGCAGTGAGCGACCGATGAGAGAAGGATGTCTTGAGAGCATCCAGCAGATTCACAACGATGCTAATGAACTGGAAAATAATATTAAACGTTAGATTCCCTTTTAAAACAATAAAGAGGTTTCTAGGCAATAAAAAAAGTTTAATGTACAGTTGGATCTGTAGTATCTATTTAGTAAGGGCGGTTTGAAAAGGAAATAGGAAAGGTAGGTGCCGTACCTCTCCAGCCTGCTTTGCCATCGAGGCCACTTGGTCTGGATCTTTTGCACCGAGCACCGTCGAAAGAACCGCAGCCAATATACCCTGAAGCAAGCGAGAAGCAATACCATCTCCATAACCAAACTTTACTATTTACATGTACTAAGAAGGCGTATCTCAAGGAAGTTTGTACTTTATTTAGTTAGAGTTGCAAATAAATAGCATTCCATGAGATATTCCCTGGAAAATATTTGTTGACTATTAATCTATTATTTCCTAAAGCTACAATTCATTTTATACTACTAAATGCAGGCGAGAGTACTAAGGTGATATTTTACAATACTGCAGTGTCTGAAATCAGATTCGTTGTATCTACAAAATTGTTAGTCGATCAGTAAGGCAAATTAATTTTATTCATGTGTTGAATGCATATTGTGTATGTGTTGTTTTCATAATTTACAATTTATCTACCGATTTGATCGATTGCGTGCTTTTTTGTCTTATAATTTTACCTGCATTGGTGATGAAGAATCGACTTTGTCGATTCCATCAACAGGGGCGCCACCTCCGAGCACAGCGGTCAAAATCTTGAGACCCATGGAAAGGAGATTTGGCCAAGGGGATGATGAACCAGAATCGGTATCAAGGCCGTCGCTTTTGCTGGGGCTGGAGCCGCCAGGGTTGAATATCATTTGCATTATCATACCTGAAAATTGTTAAAACTTACTGTTACCACTATTTTTTTTAATATTGCAACTTTGAATTATATTGCCGATTTATTAACTGAACTCCAGAGAATACTGGTGGGATCCATTTAATAGTTAATTAAATCAATGAGCCGTGACTTTTATAGTCTAAATCTAAAAAAAAAAATTCCCTATCGGTCGGGTAAAAATTACAAAGATTACCATGTTACAGCGATTATTTTAATGAAACGTACCCAACATGTTTGACCAGGAGAAACCGCCTTCCGATATTGAATTTGTTTGCGTGTCGTCGATGTCGTCGATCACTTTCTTCAACGCGTTTGGTTTCTCGGCATATTTCCTCTCTTGGCCTATTTGTTCTTGAGGCGCGGGCAACGAATTACTGTAATATACGGGGTTTTGTGACCGTACGTTGCTTGTTGACTAGAAAAAAAGATTATTTTTATTATTATGCGTTACATTTCCAAATAAGGACGTACTTAAAATTGATAGAAAAGTATCAAATAACATACCGTAAATGACTTAAAATATACGACGAAGCTCTATAATAATTTATGATAGTGTTAACCTGCTCTATGTCTATGGTACATTTAAATATTTACCCTTGAGATGAGAGGCGCTTGTTGCTGAGGGTAAGCTATCGTGTGGAGGATCACCGAGGAGCTGATGAGGGCCAGGAGGGCCCACCCGGACAGTTTCTGCTGCATCCTACAACAACATAAGGATACTGTAAGTTAATGAATAAAAAACACATAGCTTGTTTGATCTGTCTTTACTAAACCTTTTAATTTAAAACTAAAAAAAAAGACTTTTTGGAAATAAGAAAGGAAGATAATAATTATAGGTAATTTAAATGTTTTTTTATTCATATAACGGTAGTCAAAATATTTGCTTTGAATGGACTCTAACCGTAAGACTCGTCATTGCACAAAAAATACATAAATGGTGTTTATTAAATTCATATTAGTAAACAATAAAAAAATGTAATGATTTTAATGTTGTTTAAATACGTTCCTTATATTTGTTTGTGCCGTGTTCATCGTCGATTAGAAAGTGTTCTGATGAGTGATTCGCTTGTAGAAAGCGGCCGCTAACTCGTCTCGTTGGATTTTTACTTCGATGCAACACTAATTACAGGAGGTCTGTTAACCGGTAACAGTTGGGACCTTTCAATATTAAAGGTTTTCGAGAGTGATTGAGATGTTTTTTCGATATTTTTTGTGGATCTTTTCGGTTTTTTTAACCAGCGTTATTTAAAGAAAAAAAAATGCTCAAGCATTATTAGACATGAACTCGCAACAATAAAGTTTTCTTTTTATTTGAAGAAACTAACTCATGACCTGAGATAATTTGAAATTCAAATTATAAACTTATAGTTAAGTTTATTTACTTCATAATATCAGTTGTATTGATTCCTATTCACGATACGAATTATATCTTTGAGATGCAATACGTGTGCGGCATGTCCAGTATGGAAGTGTGCTAGTCTTGTACACCTCTAATACGGGTGACCCGGTCATAGTAACTGTAGTTCGGATGGTCACCTCTACCAAGTCAAGTGTTACTTCTTATAAATTGATGTTAATATGCATTTCAACATATTAAACAAGTCGGTCCACTTTCTTTGGCCGACTAAAATCATTGTTATGTTTGTTTGTTGATGTTTTAGAGACATTATGATTATGAATATTTGACAGTTATAGGATAACCTAGTTATTTGTGCGTGGTTTTTTCATTTCATGGCTTCTAAACAAATATACGAACAGATACATAACAAGAGCGACGCCGCGTCTATAAAAATTACACTCATTAACACACACATTTTGTTGATAAAAAAGACACTGCTATTAATTTAATCCTTTTTTCTACGCCGGATATTATGAGATAAATTACTGAGGCGCTTATCATAAACCAGTTTTACTTAATTTAGGGGATATAGGAGCCGATCTATTCTTGAAGAATTTGAAAATCGAACAACGCATATGAGAGTGGTTATTCCTAACTCTCATTTATTCTGCAGTTCCAAAGTACGCATGCATGTCTTTATCTGGTGAAATTTGTTACAAAGATACTAATGTTTTATGTATATTTTGCTGTATTTCCACTGCTATACAACACGCTTGTCCTGTTTTATATTAGCTTGTCGTGTGTAACAATGTCACATTTGTTTGTCGAGTAAATGTCTCGAAGCGTATTGAAAATTTTACACGCTAACTATACACGGAACGTTTCAAGCAATCAGTAACGACAATTTCAAGCTTGGTGGGCGATGAGTTTATATTCGCCATACACGAATCGCTTTGCAGTTGCCAATACAATGCTAAGCTAACCGTTTAAAGCAGGCACCGACCGTCCGTGTATGAGGGCCTTAAGTTGAACACTTGGGTGAAAGCTGGCCGACGCGCGAGAGAGACTCGACTTGGTTTTATAACTCTCTCGAGCATCGGTAATACAATAAGAATTCTTATTGTTACTCTTAACGATCTTTTATTTAGCTTTTCTACATTTTTTCTTACTGTTAACGTTTAAAAGTATACACCTTACCAATGTAATTCAGAAATTACTTGCTTATTTAGACAATGACAATCTTACTTCTTACTAATATTATAAATGCAAAAGTTCAGAAGGATGGATGGATGTGTGTAAGAGTTTGTATCCTAAATGACTGAACGGTTCTCGATAAAATTTGGCTTATATGTACGGGATAGTCTGGAAGAACATGTAGGCTACTTAGTTTTTTTTTAAATTCTGAATCTAGTAATGAATTAGTTTTATTCCTTTCAATCGATCACTATCACTATATCAATATTTTTAAGACTCGTATACTGTAATTATAACAATTTTCAGTACAAAAAACTTGCTTGAGAAAGTAAACAATACACAAATAGCGTGGTGCTAGAGTTGCAGGAACTAGTTTTTTTTAAATAAATTCATATAGCTTTATAAGCAATGTCTACACGAACGGGTATGTATAATTATATTGTGTATTAAAGCAGAACGGAGTATGAACGAGTATGAGCACACGAGGCGCGGTAAGCGATGGGTGAAAGCGGCGCGGGCCGGTCGTGTGAGAGCCACTGCCTTGCAAGGTTGACGTTTTTCTTATTTCGGAGTTAGATTGGATCTACTAGACCTAGACTATACCTGTTCCCTCCCTCCTGCTACCATATACTTTCATCGGATATACGAAAAAGAAAATAGAAGCTATTTACACATTTGAGATTATTATTTGTATTTAACTAGCTGTTCCCATGCGGCTTCATCTGCATGAACTGAATTAGTTTTATTGTTTATAAAATAACCGTTACCATAATAACCTTGCTTCCTTAATGTTGGTAGTTGTAGTTTACGGTCCCTTTAATAGCGTGAAAATTTATAGCCTAAAGTGTGTCGTAAGTGTAGGACTCTTACACTAGATTTATTAAAAATATGCAGGGATTCCTACGCCACGAAGATGTGTGTGTTTACGCTTTATTATATTAGTATAGATGAAAATATTAAAAAGTTACGTAAATCGAGCGGTTTTCTCGTTTTAGGCTCGTTTTTAGTCCAGTCATCAAGACAGGTCCGGTCGCGATCCGCTTTCTAAAGCCGAGCGGCTCCGTTGTGCGTGCATGATGCACGGATACAAGCCTGGCTATATTATGGAATACATCGGAACACTTACATATTTTAAAATAATTTAGGTAATCAATGGTTACGCATGTCCTATTTAAAAGGAATATATTTAAAAACGATTAACTGTTTAATATTGGTGTATGGATATTATAATAAAATTGTTAAAAAAGCTCAAGTCACGAGTTGGAATCTCGGATCAAATATGCGTTTTTTCAGAAATATTTAAATGTATAGCATCTTTTTTAAATGTAAGAAATATTAAATTTATTGCTTGCAGGTTTATTTATAGTATTCCGACAAATTTTGTCGACCACATCGATATAAGAACATGCGAGCAGCGTTATATCTTACAGGAAGCTTGCGTAGAATATCTAGTGAAATATAGAAAACGGAATTGCGTCTTTATACAAACGAGTTTAAATTAGGTGTACCTTTTTAAATATTAATAGATGAATTTAAAGACAATATCTAAAGTCCAAATAGGACACACAGATAATAAATAACAAACAAACAAAAATAATAATAATAATAAAGATTCTTTATTGTCTATCATTGATTGAAGGATCAATATTGCTTTGGCTCCTTAACTAGGAATTCCTGTGTTTAAGGAGCCAATGCCTTCCCTTTCAGTTACCTTAAAAAGAAAAAAAAACAAAAAGAATAAAGTGATAATAAAATTAAATTAATTAATATAATGTATCAATATTCAATTCAATTTATGTAATGTGACTGTAATTAATTATCTGAATAAAGGCTTATTATATATTATATTATATTATATTATATCTGAAGTGAGAATGATGGAAGATATATATCCTCCTGGAATTTAATTAACTGTAACAGGTAATAATAAATTGAACTTAGTTTCAAGAAACGTAATCGCTTATCTCTTGTTATCATTACTGGTAATGCCTAAGAACATCTATTGCCTTCAAAATCATTAGTCAACATAAATTTAACATACAGTCAATAAAAATAAAATATATTTGGGATCGATCTCAAGAATTGCATATTGCTATCACAGTTAATGTTGTGAGCAAAGCGGAATTAGCGGACACAAATGACCGCGATTCAGTGAAGCGCATGTCTTAACACCGTTATCAGTCTTGATGTGGACCAAACGGTACTATTGAGATGCACTCACTTATGTTTAATTTATAGATCTCATCTACCACAAATCTTTATACACTTGAGTGACGGAGAAAGATGTAGCAAGTATACTTTAGAAGTTATTACAACCGAACTCAAACCTTAATACCAGGTAACAAGTTTCATTATTGCTTTGCCAGCTATTGATACATACTCTACTAAACATTATAGAAGTTATATGAAAATATTTCTATCTCTTCTATACCTAACTCATATGACTATATATGTTTTTTTTTATACTCGGTTGTTTGTATTAAAGTTTTTGGCAATAGATCTATATCTTACACCTTCCGGTTGCTTCTAACAAATCGTTAGTTACTTCGCAGTTATACATTTTTTTACTACAATCTGCGTGTAATTTTTTGTCGCTTACGAAATTCATCACGATTCTTGACTGGTACTTACGTTCCAAGCATTCTTTTTGCTAAGAGTCCAGTGACTTTCATATTTTGGATATGTAGTTATAACTAAAATATAACTGGCAACCTACATTCAAAGAGGTTTATTTGAGTGGATTTAACTGTTGGGTTCTTTAAACTCTAGACTTAGGAGAACTGGTTAATAGGAATCTTCGTAAGTAGTACACAAACGAAAGAATTTCGCGAAACTTGAGACATTTTAATTTTGGGTATAATGTACATCCAAAACATTGTATTGACTAAAATAACAACAATGTAACAAGTCTAAATTAATCAAATACTTCATAGTTCCTAACAAAGTTGATTTTAAATTTGTTTAGCAGCTTAGAAAGATCTAGGACAAACATATTTTAATCGACTTCCCAAAAGGAGGTTATCAATTAATACATTTTGACATCTCTATCACTCTTTTTGATAAAACAGAGACAGCAAATGTCTCAGTAGTAGAGTTCTATAGCCAGACTAAAGAAAATCCTTAATACTGGTACAAAATCCCATCACCTGTTTGATATTTCGATTACTCAATACCGGCCGGTGAATGAGTAGGTTCCTCTCGCGGCGTCACAACTTTCACTTTGAGTTTTTGGACATGAAAGGAGCAGTGAGTCACTCACTCGGCAACCCGGTCCGAAGTCCGATGGAATTAATGATAGTGTTAATTATTTGAAAGTAAACGTGTTTTCAAACACTTTAAGTCTATAATTGTGATGTTAGTTTTTATATTTGCACGTTTGTACATATGCCAAATATTCGTACGGTGATTTTCAAAAAATGAATCTAATAATGTTAATAACTATCATATGCAATAAATAAACATAATAAAAGATAAATCGTGACTGTTTTTATTAGAATAAAATTAATAACTGTTTATTAATAAGTTCCGAATACATTTCCGTGTTGGATTTAAAAACTTTTTTCTTAATTAAGTTTTTTAATGCGATTAAAACTATTCGATTATGTCAACTGGTGCTATAATTTATTATTATTCCTATCGTTTACAACATAGGATGCGGAAGAATTTATCTTAACTATTTTGTTGATAAATTACAATACCAAATAGCAATATTATCTAAACTCTGACGTAATTATTACGATACACCAATATTTGCATTCGGAAATACATACTTTCTTATATAATTTCAACAATCAATCAAGTTTGTTTTATCCATTTTAATAAAAATGAATGCTTTTCTCAGATTTTATTTAATTCATATCGTAATCTCCTAAATGATTGTAATTTCAAATAATTACCGACTTTCTTTGGTAAATATTGTAGAGGACGTCAACAATTAAGCGAACGTTCAAGAAACTCGGGATGGACGGAAGCGATTGACACGCGAGAAGTTTGTTGACTAGCAGTCAGCTTTCTTCGTGCTTTAAACATAATCATTTTAACCCATGATAAACACAATAATCTAAGTATGGAAATTCATAGGTAAACCTAGTTTTAAGCCTATGTAATGGCCGGTTTCCCAAGTTTAATTAACCATTCGTTAGTGTTTTTAATTCGATAACTCCATGAAAGGCGTTACAGAACTACGTAAATTGAGTTTTACTCTGTTGAAACTTAGGTAAATAATACTGGATTATTAGGTATTGATGATACAAATGGATGTTTTAAAAACCAAGCATAAGTCAAGTTACAAATCTAGCAGAATTACCTATTTATTTTTAGACCATTATAATACGACAAGTATACTCTTTTGACCCAAGCATCTATTCAACTTTAAATCTCCTATTTATTTATCCTAACCTTTAATTTTAAGTGCAAGTTCAAGTGCTTTTATAGCTTGGTATTTAACCATTTGTTTCGCTCTATTAAGTGAATGGGCCAATTTGCAAAGTAAACCGTATGATTCTATAACCACTGCCGCATTGAAAAATTTGTCGACATTAAAAATGTCTTCATCAAAAATCTTTCTGCCCTTACTCATATACAGGGTTGCTTTTCCATACATCTCTATAAGCCTCTGAATACACTCCTTTATTACAAATTTACTTAATTTCAATACCATCACAAATTCAACTCGTGTTTTTTTCAGGGTTAAACGATTCTTTTCTTTTCATATTTTAGAAAGTGAAGGTTTATTTAACATGTCCATTGTGGGTGACGAGCCGGGCCGCTTTTGAAGATAAATGCCGTGAAATGTTCGTGACTAATTCAAGGCATTTCGTCACTATTACTCCGTGTTTTGTGTGCTTTTTCCAACTTTGTAATATTTTTAACAATTTTTTAGAGATATATTATTTACTTTAAGTATGTGGAGTTTTTTTGAATAATACATAACGTATATCATTTTATAAGTTCTAAAATTTTATTTTATTATGATGTTAATAACACCATTTAAAAAAACACGCTCTATATGCATTTTAGATTAAAAAATAAATAGACAAAAAGCTAAGCTCTTATATAAGAGAGCACTTTGTAATTTGAATTGTTGACTTGATTAGTATACAAGGGGCAGGTTAATGAACTTGTGTTTTTGCACTGCGCAGGTGAAAGTGACAAATACTCCAATAAGTACATCGTTTGATAGCCACTGTGTACAGATCTTTTTAGCTTTATGATTTTAAATGAACAGTGTATTTTAAGTGTTATGTTTTTTTAAATGTCACAATTTTTTCTTTATAAATTACCCTAACAGAAAGTTTCAGTAAAATATATTTTTAAGAGGTCATGTAGTTTTGCAACTCTTCATTTGTATCCGATACAACTCTCCAATTAATCATAGCAGCACATTCATAAATCTCATTAAACAATATAATTTTATTAGACCTCATTAACCAGATTGGCTCCCAGTTCGTCAGTTTATAATTATATCCCAAATACTTATTTCCATACATCTGCTTTCACATTAATTTTTTGTAACATTAAAAGCTAGAATTAAATACGCGTTTTTCGGCGTTATAATTTTATAGAAAGTTAATTCCTTAACCTCGTAAGAAATTTATGTCAACAAAAAATACAAGACCACGTTATCATCAAAGAGAAAGTTGTTTACTTTCGTCTCGTCGTACTAAGCGCACGCCGGAGTATGCAGCCAACGCACAAGTCGAACGCGGGAAAAGCTGGTTTTACTTCAAAATCACTTCTCACATTAATATCAAATCTTTCACCACTATATCCAGGGAACTGAATGAACATTCCATTTTTCTGGAACTTCCACCGAAATCTGGTTGTAAGATGTTCACGTTATCAGGACGTTTTAGCCAGAATTTAAGTCCTTACCTTGTATCTCGCACCGGCTTTGGGATTCACTAAATCACTGAACACTGATCGTTATCTTTCACGAGGTTGAAGCGTCACTGAAGTGAAAGTGCGTGTTGCTTGCTCGGCTGTTCGACTTGCAATGAGTGTTGCGTCTTCGACTTCACATATATATAGGATGACCCAGTTACGTTGGCCAGCTAACTGTGTATCCGTCTGTCCGCGTCTCCAACCTGTTCCCCATCCCGTTTCAATGTCTAGATCCCGGCCCGGCCCTTGGACCTTGCCAAGGACATCATTTGTTTACATGAATAAGAAATACAAGAGGGCGTTATTTCTAATGATTGCTCTTTTGCTTGTTACAGGTAAGATGCATTTGATCGAATTGAAATGGTAAGTGAACTACATATATTTTTACTATTAAAACACGCGTAAGAGGATCATATGATCTGCTTCCATAGCATCTGCAACTTGCTAGTGAGTTGTAGATGCGTTGCATACATTTAATAGATAAAGTAGAGGGTAAACAAAAAGACTTTTTCCATTTTTTTATTCATACTCTGTATCGATTCTACTTCCACTTACAACCCTTTAAAAGACAGGGAAGGGGATAATAATTTGGGTCTCTGGCACCTCAAGCAGAGCTTTCAATAGCCTTTGCCTTTTTTCCTGTTTATTGTATTTCATTCTCAGATAAGTACATAAAATGTGTGTCTTTTACTCTGTCTTCGATACACGAAAAAGTTACACAATATCTTAGTTAATGGGTTCAATTAATTTATCTTTGGTAAGTATCGCTAGTGAAACAAAGTAGGTTCTTTTTTAATAATGAAACCTGTGAATGGCAGACATTGAAGAGGTTGCCAGCTCTTCAAGCGTGATGTATTGTCTGTTAAAGCAATTAATGTGACATTCTCACAGTTCTTGTTTCCTAGAATGATTGTTATATTCCGTGGAAACTAAAGCGCGAGCAACGTTACTTGTGGATCAAATAAGGTTGTGATTTCACTTGGACCAACGGTGGATCTGTAACTATTAAAAAACCTATTTGATTTTTATGAAAGACACATGAAATAAAATGAAATAAAAAAGGTTAGCAACCAGAATATGTAACTGGCAATTTTTATCGCTTATTAAACGTAAGTTGACATTAAAACTATGTTAAAGTAAAATGAATTGCTAAGTTAAAATTGTTTAAGTCTGTAGTTAAAGAAAGTTAATAAGTGCGTGTCATTTGTATTAATGTATTAGCAGACGTACTACGAACGTAATTGGTTGAGACTTCCTGTGTATCCTGATTATAATAAGCACTCATTCGCATGGGCGTTTTTTAACGCGCGTTAAAAAACGCCGGTGCGTACGTTAGGTAAGTTCTGCTTCCAATATGAAGAAACGAGACATACTGACTACAATGTCTATCCAGGTACGTATCTAGGTGTAGTTTCATCAGTGAATTTTATAAATAAATAAATCTATTAAATACAGCTAGTTTTATTTCCTTCAACTACCCTATTTCGTTGTGGTTTGATTATGCCAGGAGTTTGAGGTCTTTGTCATTAAAGTAAAAGAGAAAAGAGGTTGAATCTGTTATTTTTTCCGAAGTAAGATGGATAATACATTACTTGGATTGATCAGACAAGTTACAGGTTAGGCTTTTACTTATAATGTTACTATTTGATTGTTCCATTATAACATTTACTGCCACAGGAATCTTCTCAAGTGAAATTTGTGCTCGTTTATAATAAGTCATAAAGACAACACACGAATAAATTACATCATAACTAAATGTGAGCCGAATATTAAAACACCCGAAGAAATTACTTTCGCTGGTTTGACGTTACATATTGCTTGAATCATCTCAAATAACGATGATTCGTTTTTTTTTTAATATTTCGAGATTTATAAGCTTCTAAGTCTTTGTGTAATTAGTTCAGGAGTAAATGTGCTCCACTTTTCCCTTATTCTCCTTTTTTGAATTAATTAGTCATTTTTTGTTTACATGATTAGCAATTTTACTTCTTACTAATATTATAAAAGCGAAAACTTAGATGGATGAATAGATGATTGATGAATAGAGAAAATTTATCATAGATGTAGAGGATACTCTGGAAGAACACATAGGCCAATCACTTTTGTTTTTTTTTTATAATTCCACGCGGAGAGACCCGGGCGAAAGATAGTATAATAAAACTATAACATAATTATTTATTTAGAGTTCCGATTGGCATAATACTATAAGAGGAAAATCAAGAGATTGTGTATCCGAATGTGAGTATCAGAGACATGATTCATGCAACACTTTCTTTTGGGTTATTCCAAGTGACATTTGTACCAACAACAGATATTTCAATATTCGATATTACCACTGTTTATACTAATTTTTCTTTATCGGAGAGATATGACATTTTATATCAGGCAAAAAGATGGGGTACGCTTTTTCCTCATAGACCAATGACCTCGTTAAGTTTACTGGAACTAGATTAAATGCAGCTGTTTTCTAAGTTTTCTAGTTTTATAGATAATGAGAGAAACGGGAAGTAAGGAAAAATAAGTGAAATTAGATATTCTGACTCCGGTATTGAATATTTACATAAACCAAAACAGAAGGAAAAACTTCCATAGAAAATTGCATCTAGTACTCATCCAATAAGGCTAACTCTACCTTTGTCAAAACCATCATGAAATTTGCTATTACTAAATAAATAAAAACCTTATAGTTACAAAGATTTCGACCACACAGTTTTCTTGTTTACAGACAGAGCGGGTTCCAAGCGAGATCCACAGCGACCTATTTTATTATGACTATGAGGGGTGAGGGTGGTTAAGAGGTGTTATGCGAGAGTAATTAAAAGACATGTAACTTTTATGTCAGACACCCTGGACGGTTGCCCCTTTACGCCCTGCCCTAACGCCGCCACAGTTTTCAGATGTTGATAAGTTTGTCCAAATTATTCCGTTGTTCTACATAATGATTATCAGTACCAGGTAGTGAACACGTGTTAGACTTTTTCTATTTAGACCCGACACTTGAGCAGTGGCAGTGGACCCGGTAATATTTGTCAATTTACATCTTCGCTTAAGGGTAACTGTAAACTCGGAATGCGTGCTTCTCGCAGTTTTCACCTAAAACGACCCACATTCACTTACAAATGTTGATATGTATAATAATTATAAACTTTCTTAAAACTATTATAATAATTTGTATAAACTATGCATGACTATGGTTATCAAAAACTTTAGAAGTTAATTAAAAAATTAACGGTTGGGATAAAGTTCTAAGCATTTCCTACACGTACCAGATTTTTTTAATAAATATTGATATAATATCAATTATTAATGACCTAATTCCTGAACGGAAAACCGATTGGATTTGGTCTAGGTACTATTGGAGAAAATAACATGTAACATATATACTTTATTTAATAAAACTTTAGTAAAAATGTTAAAGTGGCGTTGAAGACCTTAGTAATAAAATAGTAAACAAAAATAATGTAAAACGCAAGCGATGCGAGTGGGCCAGTGGGACAGCGAAATGTTGGCTTTCGTTGACACCGGTCAATGGCGGCCGCTTGTCGCGTGTTGACCTACAAGGACGCGCATTCCGATCACCATTATAGGTTATAGGTAAGGATGATTTACTAAACTCAAGGCCATTGGATTAGGACCTAAGTACCTTAACATTTACTTATAATTAGCTGGAAATGAAAAATGTCCTAAAATGTTTCTATTTTTAATCTGGCAGTTGATAATTTTTGATTAAATTAAAATTAAGATAAAAAAAGAGGAAACCAGTATCATCTTTTTATTTGATCATGCAATTGGCGCCTTCCGGGATTCATAACAAGATCAATAGAGTCGTCTGATGCTCATTAACTATTCAATTATGTCTTGATTTTTATTATAATTATAATATTTTAATATGTAATAAATGCGAGGTCGTTGTAACGGATTGGCCCACTGACTGCTAACGGCTTTCTAACTATGATATCGCAGTGAACTATCTTGATTCTTCAAATCACAAACTTACAGGTGCGTACTAAACTAACCAGTTTGACTCCAACTCCAACTCTGAAAAACCTTTTCATAGTTTTCAATATTTTAAACATTTTTAGTTTAGTTACCCTTTAGAGGACTGTTTTTTTAAAATTTCAATTGCATCTTTAAAATTGATAAATACATAATTTGAACTAAGCAAAGTTTTGAATTGTTAGACAAATTAACGTCACAAAGAAAGTGAAGACTGGTCCCGATGTGAATTAGAACGCATCAGTCGTATTACATACCTTTATTATGTGACAATAACTAACTGTAAAAAACGAAATACTAATAAGGATTCATGCCCTAGTAGAGTAAGAGTAAATAGGAAGTTTCCAATTTAGTAAGGTTGAAAATCTAATGTTATTTGAGAAGAGAATTGAAAAGATACAAGCTAAGCTATTGAATTTAATATATCAAGGGTTTGGTTTCTTGCACTACTAACAATGATCCGTACAAATGGATAGGTATTTGCTTCGAAGTGACAACTTTTGCTTCTTTCTTTGTAATAACACTTAATTGTATCTCTTACTAGTTTCAATACTCACCATCGTCACCAACTGCGACCCTCATCGCCCAGATGGTGAAAAAAAAAACAGGCACAAAATAGCACGTTTTATAGCCTGTCCATATTTAGAGATCAGTATGTCACAAAAATAATTGTTCGCACTCTGACATACAGATATGAGCATCGGTTTGAAGAACATTTTTTTTTGTAATTCCAATTGTTAATCCAGTGTTATATTGCAAATGTTATAGTAAAGAAAAGGGAGATCTTATATGTAACAATTGGATCGATCGCGTAGTTTTCGCACGCTTTCCAGTGATTGCAGCCACTGTCGATACACATTATCGAAACATGCATGAGATACCATATTGATTAAAAATGTAGTTTCTTAAAAGTAATTTAACGTCTGAATTTAAAAAATCAAAGCTTTAATTTTACTTTACTTGATTAACAGTAGTTGATTTTAAAATTTGTTCACATTTTTAACATCCTTTCAGATTCATAAGAAATGAAAGCATTGTTTATGATAATTTGGTTTATCCGTTTTATCTCTGAAAAGAAAGAAACTCGGAAAGTTTTACTTTCGCTGAATATAAAACATTATTTTTTGTTAGTCAATAAATTATCAAATATTATATTAATATACGACGATATTACACATTTTCACCTCATAAAAAATGAAGTAATCGATATTGCAAGAAATATTTTATTGCAAAAATGAAAATTTTGAACTTAATATTGATTTAGTTTATTTGAACACTAGTTGTTAATCGTGATTTCGTCTGCGTGAAAATAAAAATAATAAAAATGTAGCCTAATAATGTAGTTTTTTAATGATGAAAGAACTTTTGAATTCAGCCTAGTAGTTTTTGAGTTATTCCAAAACATAGAAAAATACAAATCTTTCCTCTTTATAATTTTAGTATAGATAGGCTTACAATCTAAATCAGAGATCCTGTTATTTAGTTGTTTGCTCCAGTAAATATAGAGGTCTGTGTGATGTGCGGTTTGACCGTATGAGTATAGTTCGATCTGCGGTCAAATAACACAGGAAACTATAAAACTGTATTACATTGACCCATTTTATTGACACTTATGTCTCTCTTTTCCTCAAAGACGATGTGAGGGATCACATCTAGTCGAAATTCAGTTAGATCTACATATCTGTTTAGTGCATCGTTCGATACCTCAAGTTCGAAAACCCTGTATTTTCAGATCTAACGACATTGTTTGTAGAAGGTGCTCAACTGACATTAACTTGTCCTAAACTTTTCTGTTGTGGCTCTTCGCTTAGTGTTAACTTAATGTATGCTTTATTGTGGAAAACAATAACAAACACTGCCAGTATCTATACCGAATAATGGGTTCTTTTATATTACACTTGGTTTCGATCGCGGCTCCGTCCGCGTGGGATTACAAAATAATAAAAAACACAGCCTACGTTACTCACTGATAACGTAGCTTTTCAATGCTCATAGATTTTTGAAATCCGCTTAGTAGTTTTTAAGTTATATCAATACATACAAAAATACAAATCTTTCCACCTGAAATAGCAAATCTAAATTCTAAATTTAACCTATTTGTTAAACGTTTGGAAAACCATCTTTTTGATAATAGCCCTTGAATAGAATATTTTATTTATATACAGTATATTATGTATGTATGTATTTTATATAATTTTACAAAAAAAAACATCTCATAAAACTATCCTACACCACTACGACACTCTACATATGTTGTATTGTAAATTGTAACCAGCGCACCCGCGGACAAACCAATTATATGGTTTTTGCGGGGCATATTTGTGCATATTTTTTAATTTGTTTCATGTAATATTTTCAATAAATAAATAAATAATAAATTCCTTTTTGTAACATTACTATAGATAAGTAGATATTAATTTGAAGCCTTTAAAGACGTACTAGCAATTAACTTGTACTTTCTCCCTAATAAGAGTAGTTTAAAGAATATTAGGCAGTTTGTATTTCTCGTACATAATCTATACTAAGGGTCACCGTGTTAAGATTAAACGACTTTTAGCTGCGGCGTTTCGATGGCGACAGTTAATATATTCTTTAAGAAATAGACAACACGAGAATAATTGTTAATTTGATACATTGCTAATATTTCTGAAATTACATAAGTAAAGGTTAATATCCGGCAACAAATCTGCTGTCTAAATATTTAATTTGCGTAATATTGTGATGTAATACGTCTGCCCCATGAGACTGCGCGGCGGGAGTCGGTCTCGTATGTAGTTTTTTAGAAAATATACATATGATAAGCTTTATTTATATCCTCGACATATTTAAGAATTTAACTAATTGTTCTGGCCCTTTGAAAGTTATTAAATTAAATTAAAAGGGATTCAATCAGATTTCATTATTCAAATGAAAAAAGTCGCGGATCCTGAAATATATAAAACGTATTGTTGTTTCAGTGAAAATCCACGCTTATGCTTTTTCTATACTGCAAGTATTTTGCCTTCATGTCTGCTTTATCGAATGTATTCGGCCAATTGCAGTAATATTGGCCCTTGACTTTAACGTTGTTATTATAACAGCTTGATAGAGTGATATCTGAGACAAAGAGGCTAATGTGACACAGTGAGAGGTGATGCAATAATTAGGTAATAGTGGTTCAATAGTCGCAGTGGATGTGAGAGGCGTTATATAAAACGTAAGTAGGTACATGAAGAAAGTTGCGCGGCCATTGGAAAGCTCGAGCGGACCGCCTGCGAACGACTGATTGATTAATAGGGCTGCCACATATCTTGTATAATAGCTTAAAATAGTGTCTTAAACGGTTACATTTTTGAGATATTTTATTTAGTAAAATATAACAGAAATAATGTTTCGAAAGTCAAGAAGAAATAAAAAATTTAAGACTATTAACTTATGAAATTCCTAAATTAATTACTCATTCAAATTGCAATTCTTGTGTCGATTCTCGCAGAAATTACTACGACTGTTAATTTCTTCAGATGTTGGTAGATGCCGGTATAAAATTGCAGCGCCTGTACGTTCTCGAGATTTGTCGTTTGAATTGTCTTCACCGAAAACAGTATTTTGCATTTTATTTATGAAAGGCGTTATTTTACAAACTAGTAAACGTATACAGCTTGTTTCTTCTGTGGATTCTTGTTGTATCATTTGTTCAATCAGATCTGATAGAGATTCATTTTTAGCCATTGCGACGAGATCTTGAAGTCTTCTAGATTTTTTATTTAGAATCCACGTTGTGGGATCCTCTGCTCGATTTGGTCTGCCTGGTCTTCGGGCACCCGTTAAGAAAGTTGAAATCTGAAATTGGGTTTTATTATATTTTTACTATTATTCACATATTATCTAATTTTGTGTCAAGTAACCTAGATCGTAGATTTTTTATAAAGGGGGCGAACGAGCGTGAGAACACTGAGGTGGCCAACGACGCCTATAAATATCACCATGGAACTACAGATGCTTTGCCGACCTTAACTATCATTAGGCAGTATTTTTTATTGTAGAAGTTTTTAAGTGCCGTATAAATGTTTTAGATTAAAAATCCAAGGTACTTACCATTTGTGCAACAAACACAAGAGCATTAACAGCTACTGCGCTAATTTGGTTCGGTTGAAGTCCCAACACACGAATTACATGTCGCCAAGGTGACATGGGATTTGAAGCTTCGTAGAGGTTACTATTCGGTCGATCTTCTTGTGAATTTTCGTCACTATGAAAACTTTCTTCATTGGATTCCAGGTTCGGTGGTTGTTTTCTACGCGGACTAGGATTGTTAACAGTATTAAATGCACGAACAACGAAATCGGCAACTTTTAATGCTACCGACTCTGAACCTGTAATTTTGAAAGTATAGAAATAAATGAATTGCTGCTGATTTTATGGGTTGAAGCAGTTTCTATGTTTTGTATATCATAAAAAGGTATGTATATCTATAAGTTATAAATTAGTTACACTAAGTAACAGACATGAATAGTAAAAGGTTTTGAAAATTCAAAATTCTTCTTAAATACCATTTTTTCCAATATCAGTATCAGCAACCGTAAACTTTTTATTAGTGACAAAATTCAATCGTACTAAAAAGAAATAAGAAAACCTTACTACTTACCGAGAAAGTCATGTGCAAATTTCATTCCAGTACTCAATCTATCAAGTATACCTTCCCTTCCATAGTTTTCATCAGCAAAAGTTATCGGTACAAAAATAATAAAAAGAAATAGAGAATGTAACGCCATCTTGAGGCGAAAGGCGAGAGCACAATGTGCTTGGAGACGTTCAAAACGCACGGTTCGTTTCTCATCGTAATGGTTGCGCCTGTGCAAACGCAACTGTCGCAGTAGACCATTAAATCCATAACTAATTACGTTCTTCATATATAGATACATGATGTTTTTTATTCTTCATATTATTGTTCCATAAGTTTTCTTGTTTCCGGCATGAAAGTGTAGATAAGGTATGCTTGTTACTTCGCCGACGCTAGATGGCGTTGTCTTACTACAGTTGTACACTCTCTACGTTTGAACAATTCGTTTTTCACAACATGGTGTCTTTCTCCTTAAATTACTCCCCCTTGTCCAAAATATATTTCATTCAGCCTTTAATTTTACATTTTGAACCATACTGTATACAGGCGAGTGGCGAACAAAAAGTAATCGTACAGCGAGCAGATACAGTCTTTATATCTATTGTTTTAAACTAGTATTCACGTAATGGCATTTGCAAACAATTCTAAAGCTTTTAAACATCAAAACCAGAATCTCTAGTAACCTGATCTATTTTAACTTTATGAAACAAAGTAGGTACTGAGTACTTTAAATATATACAAATAGTAATTAATGTTCCTAAACGACTGGACTGATTTAAATATCTTGAAAGGTTATAAGAACACTAAAAACTGTTACTTATTAATTACATAGTGTGATGTTCTTGTTCATATACCTAGAAGTTTTCTTGTTTGTCCTATTTTCAACCGTTAGACAACTATCTCGCTTCGCAGACCATGATAATCTGTCACCAGTCAGTTCTCATCCAAACAGTCGATCTGTGTGCATCATGCTAGTATTCCCCAAATTCATATATTTCACTGTAATAGTTCATTTCACATTCGCTGATATGACCACAGAAGAGATTCAAGTCCTCAATGAACTGCCTATAGATAAACTTTTAAGAATAAAGAATTCATTAAAAGAAGTATCAAATACGGATAACATTACTACAACCGAATCAACGTTTGAAAACTTCGGAGCTCAAGCAATGGCGATGCGATCGCCTGTAAAGCGTACAGATTACGAAGACGGATATAAAAAAGAAGTCAGTAAAATAAGTAATATATTCTCGATGTCGGTGACTACTTTAGCTTTTCTTGCATTTGGTGGATACTTACTCTGTTTGATCGTGCAAGCTGTGAAGTCCAAGCATTCGTATAGTTCTAATGTACCGCAATCAACGTTTGTTTTAAATGCAGGGATAAAACGACCTCAAACATTCGCGTCGTACGGCAGAAGGAAAAGAGAAACTGAAGTGCCAAATGAAATTGATTTACCGCCTGAACAATTATTCTCAGCTTTGATACAAGTATGTGAAGGATATGCTAAATGGAATAGAAACGATTAAAGTGTTTTTTTATGTACCAATTCCAACTGTTATATTAATGACATTTGTTAGTTATTTTATTGATTATTTAATAAATTACATACATTTGTTATTACAGTCTTTAATTTTTAGTGTTTTCGTGGTGTAATCTGACTGTTAGGGTAATCGATTGTGCTAGAAACAGCACATCTAAGTAAAATGCCTATTATTTTTAAAAAATGCTTTCCACAAAACAGTGTTTATATTAAAAACAGGAAACCAGATTGCCCCTCAATATACCTACAATCTGTAAACGTTTTCAAACTGTCAAATAATCACGCTAGCACCTAATAATAGCTGTATCTTCGTTTTAAAGATACTATTGTGAATCCCGTTCTAAATTCGCTTTGATATAATGCGTTGGTATAATAACTTGTATTGTGTACGGGTTAAAGTGTAAAATTGCGTGTTATTTGTAAGTTTTTTTATGATATTTTGGTATGTTGTAAGTATTCAGTGTTGTTTATAAGAGTCGGTAATGAGGGGCGCTGTTTAAGATCTGTCATCGGCAGTGCTCCACTGTTTACGGGCCGATACCAACATAATTCGTTAACTTCAACATATTTGTTATAAAAATAACTTACTTTGTTTAAAATCTTACATCTATTGGGCATAAAGGTTTAGTTTATTAATAAATTGTCGGTTAAATAAATCTTGAGTATAGTTAATTACGAAAACTTAACTAAACACTGAATTCTTGCATCATGTAGACTGTTTGTACGACCTCACGTTTATTTCATTAAATTTTATATACCAAAGTTATTTTAATTATCGTTATATAATCCTACAAAATAAATGACTGGAAAATTAAGAAGAAGCCACCAATCAGGCAGTTAATGCACATGGTTATCACATTTTATGCAAATAATTGTTATTTAAAATCTAATACGACAAACTCTTGCTAACGCAGAAATCTCCAAAGTACCCGTATTATGAAAGTATAGCTATCACTTTTATCTCTACGCAAAAACAGGAGTTGTAGTCATGGTATACAAGTCATTTGAAATAGGTTATTTTAAGCAGCGTTTAACTAACACTTCTTATAAAAGGTAGTGAGACTGGGCCTCGTCGCCGGTGGCTGTAAGATAAGGGTTTGTACACACTACACATGTCGCTGACGATGACGGCTCGCAGCGATTGCTTTATTACACTGGGAACTGCACAACTTTTTAGCATTATTTATATTACATCTTTTCAATCTTTGTAATGTATTGCTTTGTAAGGGTTAATATAAAATATGGAAATATCCGTTGAAATATGCATTTTCAATATTTATTATAGAAATAATACCAGGATATACAAGTCCGTGTTTTCGTACCTTCGCAATTACAATGGTAGTGTTTTATTGCAATCGATAAATACCAGATATAAGACAGTAAGAGTGAGGGGGCGTTTGGGTCAAAGGTTTACGATTGACGACTCTCTAAACTAAATTGAATTTGAATCGAAATCGCCTCGTAAAAGAACTCATCGCGGTTCTTTACAGTCGAATGCAAGCTGTCGCGTGTAGGGTAACAATATGTTCTTAACATATAAAACTGAATTCGTTATAATATGGCTCAATTTAAAGTCATACTTCGTGACGAGTTTTTTGCTCTCATTATTGTAGCTTACTTTTTTGATGACCATGTAAAAGTAATCTCTATATTTTCTAACGTTAATTACATTTTGATAAATGCAAGAAATGTTATGCTTGAAACAAGTAAATTTGTTAAACATAAAAACATTGAAATAAATGTCTTAAAATATTACCCTTATTGGTTTCACTATCATAGTCACACTGTAGAATACTATTAAGAGCGCGCGCACACCTGCAACTAAACTATCGAACAACTGTTTAGAAACTTTGATTCCTATGAGCTTATACCATGCGCACACTACTCGATTTTTAGTTGTGCAACTAAACAGTTGAATTGACTTTTACAATTGACAATTTTAAAAATGACAATTGCACAACATATATGCGATAGTTTAGTCAAAGGTGTGTGCCCGCTCTTGAAATAACGCTGAATCGGCAGTAACAACACAGTTTGGTAACTGTAGAAATGCTGAAGTTTACGCATAGTTCTAACTGAACAGTCGAACTGTTCAGTTAGAACTATGCGTATTTACCGTTACCGTTACCGTTACCGTAATAGTAATCGTGTGTAACTGGCTTTAAACGCATTATGAGGTTTTATGCAATTTTCTGATAGGTATTTTTATAAAAAGGTTGGTATAAATTAAATTACGATGCAGTAAAATTAGGTAGTTGGTATTTTTAAATCATTCTATTCAAAAGACAAGCTTTCTATATCACACCACAACTGGAATGACATATTTACAATGTCATACAAGTCATGAATTAGCCATAGATATTCTAATGGGCTGTTCGTTAGATATGCTCACATAGCTGTGTAAACCCGGGGGCGTAACCATAAGTAATATGTAGATACAGAAGTTCTGGTGCCGCTGTTTGTGAACGGTGTGAGACATCTATGCTAATTTGCTAATAAGCTCCTGTGAGACTAATGGTGGACAAGTCTGATGAAAGGATTTTACGTTGTAAGGTAAATACTATGGCGTACAAATTTTCTCAAATTAACAATTGTTAATTAGTCGTTTTTATCCAAAGTTTTTATTCAAAGATATGTAGACTACTTTTATTTATGTGCTTTATTTTATTTGTTCCAGAAATGTTCGTTAACATAGCCAGACTTTATCCGAAAAAATCACAATAACGAATATGGACATAAATATTAGCTAAACCGAAAATAAACAGGTAAGTTATTTAATAATCGCATATCACAACAGAGCTATGTTGTTGGATACGACATAGAAGGTTTCTAACATCAATGTTATAGGAACAGCTGCAAAGTTAATAAATTTCAGATATCCAATCAAATGCGAACTAATGTTCCTGTGTTGCCTCATTCATGTATTCTGGTGTAGCCATTTAGGCATTACGTTAAGTAACCAACAATAAATATCTCAGCCAACAAAATACATCGCGCACTCTGTTGACAAATCCCGCAATAAAATATAAGCATTTACAATAAAATTAATTATTATTTACACGGTGGACCGGACGCCAGAGCCACGGTAGTGTGACGTGGACAAGACTTTATAAATATTAAATTAATTTACATAAACTGAAATAAATGTTGATATTGTTAGACTACAGGCTAAATTATCAAAACACAGTTTTAGTGATTTCTTGTGTGAAGTGATTTCTTTTAGTTTTCGTGTGTTGCCATTATTTTTCTTAATAAAGAAGAGGAAAAGAAGCATTCCTTAGACCTTTAGTTTTAAAAATCTTTACGATGGTATGTCCACATTACATCATCAGTGGTTGAACCATGTTGGGGGTCTAGGGACCCCGCGGCGGCTTGCCTTATCGCACGCTGCGCGGGACACCACGCTCCCTTCCTCCTCCCCCCTACCACAGCCATGTAGGGCCACCATTACCTTACTCTTTAAAGGTACCATTTCCGATACAAATGCCCCATTAAACATATTTTAATGTAATAGAACAAACTATTGCTATCAAAACTGTTGTAACTTACATTTTGTAATTATTTAGTACTTTTTTATGTAATACAAATGTAAATTATATGAATGTTGATATGTGAATGCTTGTATTGCGTTTCGAAATTTCATAAAAAATATTAATTATCGAGTTAACAGTTTGTTAAATTAGATTGAATCGTTGGTCTTTAATTCAAGTTCATGAACGGATCAGTATTGGGTTGAATTTTAAATATTATCGTATTTATAATAAAAATAATCAAAGGGGCACACCTTAGTTCAGTTCGATGTTTACGGCCGTCCCGCGGCAATCATAACTCCTGGTGGAGCCTCCGCGGCCACGCAGGCGTCTCGCTGGACTTTTATTGTGATTTAGCCACGCCGAGCACGGCTGGCCCGAGCCTGTGCCGCTTCGATATTTATTTTTTGCAATTCTGCACGATCCCTACACCTTCACGGCTCTTATTTGACAGATAAGAGTCATAAAACCCTTGTTATCAGCTCGATTAGTCGTACTTTTATCTTTTTTTTATTAAACTAACTTAATGTGAGTGTAAGAATGTGGCTTCTTTATATTGTTTGTTAGGAATGTCTCGTGTCTTTTGTATTGTAACTCAATTTTAAGGTGCCATTAAAAAACACAATTGCTGAGGGTTAGGTGATCATATTGGGAGAGCTTTTCCGACGGGGAATACGGGCAAAAAATAACCTACAATCAAGCAGCCTCGATAACAACTGAAGTTTTATCACTTACACGTTCGAATAGAATTCTGTTAACGTAAATAAAGATAAAAAAAATCTGGCAGACTTTCCTGTTAATTGCCTATAAAGTCTTCAACATCACTAATGATTTGATATGGCCAATTAAATTTAATAATTTCTATTTAAACATGTCCAAATATTACCAAAGCGCAAAACTAATGATTCTAAATCATACATAATCAATAGAATAAACTATCGGAGTCGAATATTACAATAACCTGAACGTATACAGCTAATTTCCAATTTTAATGGGCGATTAATATTAAATTTCATATGGACGATAGTTTCTGAACACGATTATGCAAATATTATTAGTTCTTAATAAACAGTTTAAGCATTTGATGGTCTCGCCACACGATGAGAGCGGCTGCGCTGAGCGCCGAGGGCTAATTATAATAAATATACGACAACACGTTAGCTCCGATCACACCGGATACTTGCTCTTTTTATTTACAAGAACCAATAAAAGTGATCTACGGTTACTTCGACATACGAACGTATTTATTTTTTATTACTCGAACTTATAACGGATAGTGTAAGTTGTTATTGTATATCTATGACAAGGCTCACCCGATACTTTATTATTTATTACATTTATTGGGCTCGAGATTTACCCGAGGCGACATGTTCTGGCGCTCCGTAGGGTCCTTATTCTGGCATCATTTGTTAAAATATAAACTTCTTAAAAAATAATGTTTTTAATGCCAGTGACT